ATGTGTACACTATTGGGCTTTTTCGGCTCTCCTTCCCGTCCACCTTCCTCTCTTTGTTTTGGCTCCTCTCCCTCACTTCCTCATTTCTCCTCTGCCGCCCTGTAGATGTCAGTTCACCTGCCTCCGTCTCCCCTTATTCTGTCAATCTTTTCACTCTCTTCCTTTCTTCCTTGTTCTTTTCCCTCGGGTCCGGCTGTAATGAGTAAAGGTCAGGGTGTCAGCTCTCTCCTGTTGTGCTGTCAGTGCTCTTGTCTGTTATAGAGGTACTTATTAGCGGTGGCCTTTAGCCGCTGTCCTAACGAGCAGACAGCACCGCTCTGACACAGCTGCTGGGGGAGAAAAAGACAGAAGTGAGAAGGGAATGTGATGACCTCAGAATCTAATTATTGCCTGTAAATCTAATTAATTGGAGTATATGAACAAATCAAGTTAAATTCAGAACATTTTTTGGTGCTGGCGACCATATATTGTGTTTATACGGTTGTATTCAACTTGACAATACATTTGTACTGGCTGTAACAGTAAGTAAATTATGTACGCATTATTTACATTTTTCTCATACAGAATGTCAGATAGAAACCACAGATAATCAAAAACAAGAGAACAGGATGATTACTTTCCCTATGTTATTCTTACAGCTCTAGTAAAGGACAATGTCTCACTGTCAGTCAGCATCTGGGGACGTCGTTAACTCTAAAAGTAACTTTAAAACAGCCAAGCAAGACATTTACAACAGAATTTCTGTGTTTAATGGGGCAGCTAGATGTTGGCAACCAGTGGGCAGTCAGAAGTGACAGCTCCAAAGGTAAAGGCGCCGTATGAAACCGGCTGATAGGTGCAAGGCCAGTTGTCTAAAAGTAGGAGTTTGGTTAAAAGACAATCAGGGAAAGTAGGCAGAAATAAGATGATCAATGCATTAGGAGGATTATACAACAATGGTGTTATTGATTTCTCTTCTAATGTGCACCCGAGCCGTGGCAGTGAGCCAGCATCCACAATGACCCTGATGCCAAAGCAGCTAAATAGAAATCAACCATCTTTCATTTCAATATTCAAGCGTATGGATTTTTGGTTTGTGAGAAACAGTAAAGGCCACCACTAAAAGGTCTTTTTGAATAAGAAAAAAGGTGGCCAAATATGACAAGCTAGAAATATCAGTTAGATTGTGCCACACACATAAATCATCCGTCCACTGTCTGACATTTCAGATTCACCAGTTACACACAACTAACCTGTCAGTGTGGAGTGTCCACTGTTCACATGCTGATCATTAATCCATAACGTCATGGATTCATAATAAGTGTTACATAGTTGATGGCAAATTATAAACCAGATACACCACATCTAACTGATTGAAGTCATTCACACAGTAATGTCTACATGTTGTGTTGACTCACAAAGATATGATGACACAGTAAACACAGTGTCAAAGAAAAGCATCAAATCCAGCACCAATACAAACGTACTTTAAAAGATAGTACATGTGTTCCTTTCTGCTGCATCAAGCTAAGATGTCTGCCATTAAAAACATCACACATGACATGGCGCCTCATTTAAAGCTGAATAGCATCAGGGAGTACTTCCACCTGTACAGCACACCTGCTCAACAGCACACTATGTGGAACAGTGTAACTGTGTTGTGTCAATCATTTTCTATTTCAGTGTAGAGCAGCATGATAATAGATGTGATGAGCCACTCCAGGCTGCATGCCTGAACGGTTTCTGTATTGATTTGTGTTGGCCTTGTGTCAGCATGACATCACCTTGGCAACACAATCTCAAGTGCTCCTAAATCTGTCTGTCTTTTCATGCATGCAGTGTGTGAGTGTGTGTTTGTGTGTGAGCGGTATGTACATTCACTCTATGGGGGAAGAAATACCTCCATCCATTCTTCAGGCGCCATGGATTTGCTTTTTTTCCTGACTCAGCACTTTTTCTGTAACACACACACACACACACACACACGCCCCTCTCAGTATTCAAAGTGTTCTTATCTTGTAGTGGCCTTTTCCATCACCTCCAATGTTTCTTCATGATCAGGTTTTGTCATAACTCTCTATCCCTCACTTACACACACACACACACACACACACACACACACACACACACACACACACACACACACACACACACACACACACACACACACCCCCCTTCGTTTGAATAGTTGATGTCTGCAGCATCCAGAGTAGAAATAAAATTGCAGCCGGGTGATTCTACCGATGTCTCCCTGCAAAGTTAGTTACTGTTTAAACTCTCCCTCTATCTCGCCGTCCTCCTCCGCTATCTCTAAATTTTCTCCCTCACCTCCTCCGACCCTCTGACTTCCAGCAACAGGTTAGATGTCTGAATAGAAACACATCCCATGAATGCAGAGTCTGGTTTGTCCCACGGGTTGAGTTCATAAAGTGTATAAAAAAGTCATAGGTTTCCTATTTTGGACTCCTCGGAGAGGTTAATTCAGAACCATGACCTCTTCTTTTTTCAAATTGGAACATTTTATTACTCGCCTGGCTTTTCGCTGAGCCATCACTTTTAAATACCAGACACATTTATTTCTCTACTTAAAATGATGACTGGGCCTAAAGATTCATTTAAGCTGAGGATATTAACAACAGTTATAATGCACAGCATACCGTATTTTTCTGAAATGAATCTATCCGTTTAATTTCACTTTAACAGTTAGTAATAAGATGAAAAATCAGGCTGTAAATCAGATTTTAAAACTTTTTAATGGGAGTGTAGAGTTTATGGTCCCTTCTTCTCAAACATCACTCAGTGCTTATTTATTTGTCCACATATGTAACAGACTGATAGACAGTCAGCATGATATCTGTCTCTTTTCCTTTCATTGTAACAGAAGTAAAATCGTCTCTCTTCAGCACAAGCCGTCGGTTTAGAACCTGAGGAAGAGTTTTCTCTTGAAGCAGCAAACACATTTTTCCAAGAACATAAATGAATTCAAGGTAACAATGAAACAATTTTAAAAGATTACAAAACGTACAGATGGGTGTTATAAAAAATTAACAGAATGAAAAAGTAAAGTTTGTATTGCCTTATGAAATATTTACTGTAGTTGTGCCAGGCTGCTGATCTGAATGGGGACAATTTATAATTTATTTATAATATTATAAATATAAAATTTATAATAAATTTGTATTTTATTGTAATCATTTTCACAAATCTTTAAAGTTGACAGAAAATTTCCTTTAGAAAAAACAAAACAAAAAACACACCTTAAAAAAACGAATTTTCATGGACGTTCATGGACGTATATCAGTGATGTCACCCATTCATTTCTGAAATCATGTTTTGAAGCCCAACGATGGGGATCACTATGTTGGAAATACTGACTCTTCCTGCCTTTTGATCAATCTAGACACAAGCTAACAGGTGGAGCTGAGGCGGGCTCTTAGCCTGCTACTACACACACACCTGCAGCATGTCAGTCAACTCAGCCCGCCCCTAACTATACAATATCATACATTACTCTTAGCCTCATAACAGTGAAGAAAAGGCTAACACATTTTGTTGTACCTAGATTAAACATGTTTATGTTTGCATTTTAAATTGGCATTTTAACGGGGACTTAATGTGTTTCCTCGACTTTTAAAGCCAGCCTCAAGTGGAGGTTCAAGGAACTGCAGTTTTTTGCTCTTTCACATTTGCTACATTTTTTCTTCCCATGTGGATTCATAAATCAGTGTGTTTAACTGAACTATTCCAGTTTCCTGCTTGGCCTCATTTTGTTTGGTAAACATTATAATTTATGCGTCCGTTCGTGCATTCTGAACGGAAATGAAATGTTAAAAATGAGCAGTCGCACACTTCCTGTCAGAGGATTATTTTAACACATACAATGCATGAAAATGTAATTGTGTTTACTTTGTATATTTTCCAGAAGTGTTTGCCATTGCTGTGACATTAAATCTTTGTTGTACACTTGTGATGCGGTTGCTTATTTTTGACCTCATTATGAACACGGAGTGACTTAATCTCATACGCTCCTGGATGTCGGCTCCAGCTGCTTCAACAGCTGCCGCCCGGACACGAGGGGAGCATGTTACCCTGAAAAAACATAGGAGGGACGTCACCTTTTGCAAATCACTTTTGAAAAAGGAAAACACTTCAGCCCAGATATTTAGGCCTTATCCATGTGGGAATGTAAATGAACAAGCTGTTCAATGATTTCTCAGCATATTCCACTCACCCTGAATGTCCCATAAAACTCGCAGTGGATGCATTAAATGGCAGGACACATCCTGACACTTAGCTTGGTGAGAGTCATCAGACTGCTTTAAATACCATCCTTGTGCTTCACTGTCAAATCCATTTCCTTCAAGTGTTTGTGACCCAAATAAATCCAATGTAATGACTTTAATTATGAGGGTTTATTACTTATCATCATGAAGTCTGACATATTGCAGGGTTTTAAATCTGTGGGCGTGTAAGTGGACTTAAACCCAGAAGTGGATTAAAGTTGAACATATTTTGCAACATTTTTAACTTAAAAGACGGGTTTCCTTTTAAATGTGCCGACTCATTTAACCAAGCATTAGCTCATTCCCAGCATCTTAACCCTTCTCTTTGGAAATCCTGACACCTGCACACTCCTCACCTCTCACCTCTGAACACTACTCCAACATATAAACAAGCAGTTTGCATTCATGCGCAATCTGTGAGATTTATTATCGTCCATCTTTAAAAAATCAGAGCACGGAGTGTCGCCTGCAGACTATAAATTCACACTTTCAGACTTTCATTTCAACTAGATTAAAATGTAATGAATCACATTTCACTCGGACAATTTGTCTCTCGATCCTCGCTCTCTGCTCCGTCACCTCTCCCAGCCTCTGTGTCTCCATCACTGACATGCATGCATGCACTCACACACACACACACACACACACACACACACACACACACACTAACACACACAGACACACACACACATGATTCTGATCACTAAAGCACAGTCTTTGTCTCTGCCCTCTGTGCAGGAGCTGGAGGATGGTCTCCTCTCGTCTCAGACAGATACCAGTGGTTGGAGGTGGATCTGGGAAGGCGGACCAAGATCACAGCTGTCGCCACGCAGGGACGCTACGGCAGCTCTGATTGGCTGACGGCTTACCTGTTAATGTTCAGCGACACGGGACACAACTGGAGACAACACCGGCAGGAGGACAGCTTAGGGGTAAGTCTTCTGCACTTATCGGTATAAACACTAAACTATGGGGAAATCACATTTTAATTCAAGAGCAAAATGTTTCAAAATCAACAAGAGAAAACTTTGTCCAACAGTATTTTACTAAAATGTATCTACTGTATGTACTGTTTTGGATATGTTTGCACCTGCAGCGCACTTATTTAAGATTCGAGAAAGAGAAGAGCAGTCTGCTTAGAAACTCAAAAAAGCATCAAATGCACTCACAATGAAAACCTCCACTCAAGCGACCATCCTGTGGCTCCGAATGCGTCTTCCACTCCAGGAAGCACTGCCAGTGAAATTAATTCATGCAGCAATTATTCCATCCTGCTAGACCTAATTTGGAAAACAAATTAACTTTATATCAGCATAATATCTAGGAGACAAGGATGCATTAAATTAGTGTGCAAAGATATTGGAAACAGAATACTAATTTAAACGAAAGTCCAAATAAAGTTTAAACTATTGAAAACTGGATTTGAGTTAAAGTGAGGAGAGGTGTTTTAGCACTAGTAAACAGTCCACTTGAACAACACAAATCAGCACATCATGTATCCTTAAAGAATGACATCTAGTTAAACGAAATAGGGCTTAACACATCTACAGTAGAGAATGCTGCTTTGAAAACACACAATCCAACTTGTATATCAACTTCTTCCTGTAAACATGACAAGATAAGAACCTTTTGGGGTGAGGTCTTCAATATGTTTGATTGAAAATAATTGCTTGTAAAAGTTCGCATTGAACCAATGCTTTTATTTAGGGCCTATATTCTGAATTCTTCGGATGAACTACTTTTATTAAGATCTACTATCTTCAAGCAAAAACATCTGTTGAGACTTTTCAGGGAGAAATCAGAAACACTTAGTTTGAGGAGTTAATTTAAATAATGACTAAATTATGTCTGAAAAAAAAAAAATTATACTCAAAGGGAAATTTAATTGTATGAAAAGATGTGAAAACATTTTGTATATTTTCTAGAGCATGGTGACTTGGTGAATATACTGATTTAAGAAGACTAACTGGACATTTAAGAAATCCTCGCCATGATCAGCCAATCAGGTCGAACTTTCCTCTCAGGCCTATTTTTGTCAAACTTCCCAAGACAATTCCCATCATCTCAACACACAAGTGCAATCAATCAATGCGTTTCAGAAAGGTTTGTCTGCCAAAATATAACCACGTCTACTGTTGTCCCAGTTATAAAAATGACAGCAGGCTCATTACCACTTTACAGAACGGACAGAACAGTTTATATTGTCTTTTGAGATCAACACTTTGTACTAACTAACATCAATAAACCAGCACATCCTCCAGAAACATTACATTATTCATTTCACTGTAAAATGAAGATGAAGTTGCTGATATTTAAATTGTTTTTTTTCTGACCTCATTTTTTTGGGGTCTGTTGGAGTATCCTTCAGTGTATGAAGGTTTGTTCCAAAAATGTTTTACTGTGACACCAAATTTTTAATAAAAAAGACAAAATGAACAATAAGACCATTACACACCTGCTGTGATAAATTATCTATCTCAAACAATATCAAGTTAAAAAAAACATTTAGTTGAAGGAAATATCTCTTTAAAGTCTTTATATGTGATTTTCCACACTTAAATATAATATAAATCAAGTATATCCTCTGAAAATAACTCTGTGGGTCATGACTGTCTACAATGGGTGTAACACCCGAGTCCCACTGTCTGTGATGCTTTCAGAGTTTTCAGAATCCTATCTTCACTTTGTTTACATCGCCAGGACGGCCGGCTGACTCCTCCCCTCGTGTATAAAAGTTGTTTAATTGAGGGACTAGAGAAAAGAAGAATAACATACTGTACTCACTGCTTAACTGTGTTTCTAGATCACGCTCATTTCAGGTAAATTTACATGCAGTGTGAAGATACCAGCATAATAAAGATCGCTAGCATTAGCATGCTAACACAACAATGCAGCGCAAGTTGTTTTGGTTTCATGCTGGTGCTCAAGGGCGACATCTGCTGCATCAAAAAATCACATATAAAGCCTTTAAAGTCTTTCTTAAATAGCCCACAGTGAAACAGTTTACACCATTTTGAGATACATGAATAATAAATACACATTTATATCAACATCATGTATTGTAACTGCTATGCAGACAGCAGGGGAGGGAGCTGAGCTCAAACTGTGGGTTGATTGAAGTTAAAACATTTTTGGCCTCACTGTCACAATCATGATTTACATTTCTGCGGGGACTGGTACTGCCTGCAGCGTCGTGCGGGCTCACCGGGAGCCTTTCACTCTTTATTAATAATGGATGGAACAATGAAAGGAACCTGGGCAGGGCTCTGTCAGCTGCACGGAGCTGCTGTCAAACTGTTAAACCTCGACCGACAGGAGGCTGGGGCTGTTCTTAGAAAGAGTGCTTGGATTCTTGCAGCAGCACACGTGTCCATCACCAGGCTGAAGGAACACGCCTTGTGAATCAGACTCGATGAGAGTGTGAAACTAAAAAATGCATGTGGTGACTAAGCATATATTTAGAAGTAGCTCGTGTATGACATACCCCTGCAGACTGGGAATTAAAAACTGAAACTAATTCTTCTGCTTTCCTTCATATCTGCATGTTCCCTAGTTTTCTTTTTCTCTCCAAAATTTCTTCTTTTTTTTTTTTACTTTTTGTACGTTTCTCACATGTTCCATGTCTCAGTAAAGACGGAGAGAATCGTCAACTGCAGAGTGACTGATCACTACCCAGCAAACTACCGTGTGTCACAGTGACAGGAAGACGTGTCGGGCCTCTGATGATTGAACAACAATAGATTTGATTCAGAGGCAGTCGGGCGTACTGTCTTCCATAAAGGAGACATCTTGTTACAGCAGCAGCTCGGAGAATAGCTTTTGATTCTGATTTGACAGGATGCGATTTTCAGTAAAGGATGGAAAATCTGTGAAGCCGGGGAGACATGGCTAGGAAAGAGGAAACAGAGTTTGGCTTCTCACAGCTTAAAAAACTTGTTGATTTGATACCCAGCATGAGAGCTGATTAATCCAGCTCAGCTCTCTGAGTGGGTTTAGAGCTCCATATATTAGCCAGACCAGCTTACAGTGTCGGTAAAGTCACAGATTTGACTGAAGAAACAGCTGTCGGCCTCAGGTTCAGCTTCTCACTGACTTCTCAACTATGTTGTTCCTTAAAATAAATAGTATGGGCTGCACGGTGGTGCACGCTGTTGCCTCACATTGAGGAGGTTCTTGGTTTGAATCCCCGTCGGACAGAAGTTTGCATGTTCTCCATGTACATGCATGGGTTCCCTCCGGGTACTCAGGCTTCCTCCCAAGAATCTGTGACTCTAAACTGCCCATATGTGGGAATGTGGCGGTTTGTGCACTTACCATGTTCTTATCTCCATATCTTTGGAATTTAATCTGAATTTGGTAATATTTTACCCTCCATGTATTCAGTACATTGTTGACAACTGCATATTAAGACAGACTCTATAAATGTAAAAAAAAAAATGTCAAAAGCTGCAGGAAGTTATTCAGCTTATTATCGTATTGATCAGACAGTGTAGACAAAAGCACTGGTTTAGGATATGGCTGAAACAAATAGCAAAATATTTTGCAACACTAATATCCTGAACACATACATATCATCCTTACCTCTATTTGGATTTTTTCTCTGGTCTTTGAACAACGTTCTGCTACTTACTGTGAGTCCAGTCATACAAGACTGGACTCTTCTTCAGACCCCTTTTTCATCATTATAATCTCTGCAGTTTATAGGGTAGGAAAGTTGTACAGAGACAGGAAATGATGGGAGGAGAGAGTCCAGGATGACATGCAGCAACAAAGTGCCAAGGCTGGATTTGAACCCCCGGCTGCTGCATTGAGGACTATTGTCTCTGTACATGGAGCATTCAAGATAACCACTAGGCTATCCGAGGCTCCAACTCTCTCCTTGACTACCCCATATTTCTCTCCTTGACTGAGGTCTTGTCAAAGGCTGCTCACATTTCACAACATGCACGTTGAGGTAAATGAGATGCCTCTCACTTCAGCCTCCTCAGCAGGAAACAGAGCCGTTTGTTGAGCTCAACGCTTGGCTGCTCAGCCGGCTCAGCCCTTCAAAGCACCGAAGACGCTAGCTGAGATCACAATTATGCTGCATCGGGGAAGCCAATTCCACTCACACAGCCTCATCAGTACACACACTCAGCGGACAGACACACACTTAGCATGACACACAGTACCCTCTCAAGAAAGCAGGACAGTCCTAAGCAAAGCCTGCAGTAACACTTAAAAAACATAAAAGCTGTTTTTTTTTCTTCCTTCATAAAGATGCATGTGATGCTCGGTGTGCTTCTTGTGTATCAACCACACGATTCTCACAGGCAGCTGATTGGGAAAATAGAGGCCATTAGTCTCTTTAAGAGAGGCCTAGTACAGAGACAGACTAGGTCCCAGAGTTATTGATCACAGGACAGAGAGAGGGAGAGATGTTATTAGCAGCTAGGATCAATGGCCTCTCCGAGCTCAAAGTTTGAAAATGCACAAAGACCAGGGGGTTAGAGAGAGTTTTTCCTCCACGCTCAATTTTTTTTTTCTTCTTTTTGAGATTAAAACAAGACAACTTCTTTGAACAGAATAAAAGGTAGTACTTTGAATTGGTTAGGGGCTTTGAAATCAATTTGCTTAAGGATGGGCTATGAAGGGGTCCGGTGCGAGGGGGATGAATATGGTCGATTGCAGTTGTGATTTTGCTGTATTGGGTTAAAGAATCTTGGGGTTGAGGCTCAGGTTTGGGCATGGCTTGATAAGCTTTGTAGCTTCCCTCTGTGGTTCCTGTATTTAGAAAGACTGAGAGATGAAAGAGAGAAGGGAAGTAGGGTCGTGAGAACTTGATCATACACAAGAGAAGTGGTTCGACCATGGACCCGGCCATTGTGACGTCACCCATTCGTTTTCCACGAGTTCAACAGCTTGGCCGTTGTTTATTCATCAGACTCAAGCTATTAAAATATTGCATTAACTAGCTTGCTCCGTGTTTGCACGCACACATTTCTGGAGGGAGAGGAATGCAGGTGATTGTCATGAAACAGGTCATTTAAAAGAAGCGCTCTTCCCATCATTGCACCCTGCCATATTCTCTGCAGGGACATAATGAAAACAGCTCTCCTTTAAATGGGTCATCACAAATGAATCAATGATGGAGAAACGTAAAAAGCTAACCAACCCAGTACACTAAGCTTGGAGATCGATATCTTCTAATTAGTGCAAACACATTCATTAGAAAATACTTTCAAGTCACCAAAAAACCTGGAGCACAGAAGTTATGGACAACCTGCTATACAGCACAGAAATCTGTTATATCTGTCTGATGTTTTTCCACATTATTTAGCAACTACAGCGACTGTAATTACCTGAGATGATAGTTAGCGACATCCACCTGACATTCATAGTGACCACGCCCTTAATTGTATGACGTTAAGCTTTAAAGGCTTTATATGTGATTTTTTTTGATCCAGCAGATGTCGCCCTTGAGCACCAGCATGAAACCAAAACAACTTGCGCTGCATTGTTGTGTTAGCATGCTAATGCTAGCGATCTTTATTATGCTGGTATCTTCACACTGCATGTAAATTTACCTGAAATGAGCGTGATCTAGAAACACAGTTAAGCAGTGAGTACAGTATGTTATTCTTCTTTTCTCTAGTCCCTCAATTAAACAACTTTTATACACGAGGGGAGGAGTCAGCCGGCCGTCCTGGCGATGTAAACAAAGTGAAGATAGGACTCTGAGAACTCTGAAAACATCACAGACAGTGGGACTCGGGTGTTACACCCATTGTAGACAGTCATGACTCACAGAGTTATTTTCAGAGGATATACTTGATTTCTACATTTAAGTGTGAAAAATCAAATATAAAGACTTTAATGATTTTCAAACAGGTGAGGTATAAGATAAGCTTAATATTAAATACCTTTGGATACCAAATCTATTTTTGTGGCAGGCTGTAGACATGTTTGCTGTAAAGTTTGCCTTTTAATATGGGGCCTAATGGGGATTGAGTCCATTTTGGAGCCACCTTCAAGTGGCCACTGGAGGAACTGCAGATTTTTGTACTTCCAGGCTACTTTTCTTTTTTTGGCCGTTGAGTCTAAAATACTAGAAACCTGGTCCTGGGCGCCGGTGGCCGAGTGGTTAGAGCACACACTCCATGTATGGAGGCTGCGGTCCCCAAAGCGGTCCGAACTGTACCTCTACAGTAAAGGCATAAAAAACACATCGCCCCCTCCCTAAAAAGAAAAAAAACACTGGTCCTTTCATTGTAATTACAAACTATTTTTGTCAATAGATTATAATATCCATTTCTTTCCAGGATGGAAAGAGAATACAGTTCCCTTTTAAGCAGCTTAATTATGAATATCAAAGTTATAAACAAACAGACCCCCTGTTCCTTTTTAGTGCACTTGAGAAGCTCATTACTTTTAAGTGTTTTGCCTTCAGATCTTCCCTGCTGAGGTAAAATGTGAAAACCCAGGTGTCTCGATGCAGAAAATAGGCAAAGTACATTGACTGATGTTCTGTTTTTTTTCAGGCTTTTCCAGGTAACAGTAATGCAGACTCTGTGGTCCAGTACAAACTGGAACAGCCGGTGATAGCTCGTTATCTGCGTCTGATTCCTCTGGACTGGAACCCCACTGGGAGGATTGGACTCAGACTGGAGATCTATGGATGCAGATACAGTGAGTCCACACTTTTCTCTTGATTTCTTTGAGTTCCATCTCCATGTAGTGCTAATAATGAAAAAATGTTATTCCAATATTAAGATTAAGATGTGGTGGGAGACAAGTTTGAGGGAATAATCGATAATAATTGAATCTGTGTCGTCTGTCTGATGAACCTCTTTCTCCCTCTCTTTGCTTTTCTGTAGCTTCGGACGTGGCCAACTTCGATGGCAGCAGCAGCCTGGTCTACAGGCTGAGTGTTAGGCCGAGCTGGACGGATATGGAGGTCATCTCTCTGAAGTTTAAAACCCTGAGGAATTCTGGGACTTTGCTGCATGCAGAGGGACAGAGAGATCACAGCCTCACCCTGGTGCTGGAGAAGGGACGGCTGCTGCTCTACCACCAACAAGGTCAATGCTTTTCCTCTATTTATCTCAGCCTATTTATTATATATGTGCAGTTTAATGTCCAAATGATTAAGTGTCAAAGTCACAGACTTGTTGGGTTTAACAATCTTGAATGGAACAAAACAACATGCTATATTTACAGTTTCTTTCATACTTAAAAGTGTTTATTATGACTGTATAGTGCGTGCATATTTCACAACTTGAGATGTTTTTATTTAGATAATTATCATTACTTCATCGTATATTGCTCATGTGAACTTCATTAATCTTGCTACATGCAGAACAATCATCAAACAAAACAAAACTTTTTATTTTTTAAGGCCCAAACACCCAGAAAAAGATATTGTCAAATGATTCCAAATGTGTCAACGAATGCTCCAACAGCGCTCTGCAGGCGTCAGATTTGAAATGTCAATAGTTTAATACCAGCCGTCTTTAAGGAAAAAAAGATTGAAATTCATAAGAGTATGACAAGAAGGATTTTGCTGCATAGAACAATTCCACGGCTATAATTCTCAATCTTTGCATGTGTCTATTTTAGGTTGCAGCATATAAGTGTTTATGAAGGCTCTGGGTGTTAAAGTTCAGTCTTTGGGGGTTACTGTCAGCCTCTTAGTCCTCAGATGAAGCTCTAAAATCACACGAGTAGAGGCATCGAGACAGTATGACAGCATTCAAACACAAAAGGTATAGCTGTCAGACCTCATATTGTGATTGGGAATAGCTGAGTTTGTACCTCTGCAGTTGAAATGAGCGAAGAAAAAACTACGATCTACTTCAGGTGAAGTAAGATGAGAGTCTGTGTTAATGATATGATACTTGAATAAACTTTGCTTGATGCTATATTAAGGCTTTAACTTTCTATTTCTACAATTCTACAATTCACTTGGCAGAAGTTTTTTATCCAGAGCGACGTACATCAGAGAGTAAGAACAACACAAGTGAGGATTTAGAGAGGAAGCAACAATGTCAGTAAGAGCAAACGATCAGCTTTGAGTCTGATTGGACACACAGGTGCTGACAGGAAGTGACCAGAGGTGAAGCACAACATGGACGGCAGTTCTTGAGAGCTCTAATCAGCAGCAAAACCATCCTTAATATCCTCATCAACATTATCAAACAAAAACCATCATCGTCATCATTAATATCATTAAGTGCGTAGGTGTTCATGAAAGGGCTTTTTCTTAAAGATCAGTTGGTGCTTCCTGACTCTGAGCTGGAGGTTTAAATCTCGACATGCAGTACAGTTATGGAGTTTTTTTTTGTTAAACTTGAAGCACTAAGTAAATGCAGTTAAGTTTTAAGTAGAAAACAATCCCCAGCAGTAGTCAACTTCCTGTGGAGAAGTGAAGAAAGTCTGTGATAAGGAGTGTCTAAAACTTTTTAAAAAATGAGAATTTCTGTTCATTTATTTTTAATTGCTCTGAAAATCTGTCAGCTGAACACCTATACCGTACTGTGTTATTATGCTCTCAGACTCCAGAGAATCCTCCATCCTGTCTCAGTATAAGGAAATTTAATCGCTTGCACTTTTTTGTTCCCTCAATGAAAATGAAAAAAAGCTTAATGTTGGTCTCCGTCCATCTGCTGGTTTGTTTGCGCGTTTGTCGGATGTGATTTCTAAGAAACCACTGATCCAATTTTGAGGCGGCTCAGGGGATACATGCGTCTTTCTGCCTCTGCTGATTAGCTCAATACAGTGTTTATTTGACATCCATATGTCTCCAGCAATTTCCAGACAAAACTAATCAGACGGTGAAGAATCCTGGGAAATGGGTGTAGGAAGACTGAGGAAGGTTTTGAAGAAAGACTGCCAATTTGTTGGTGGAAACATGTTTAATCTTCCATGTTTGATCCTTTCTGTATCATTCCCAGTTTCTGTCCCTCTTACTGTAACTCACTTCTTCTTGCTCTTCCTCACCTGGCTTGACCTCCTCTCTCGTATTCTCTCTCTTTTAATTAATGATGGACGTTAACAAGCAAGAGTTAAAGATGAACTCTGCTGAGCAAAGTGAGCATTGCATGATCCATAGCCTCTACCTGCACAGAGTGGAGCACTGATGAGGCTATAGGGAGGAAATGTGTTTGTGTATGTTGGTGTTGGTGTAAATGAAGTTAAATGAAGGTGTTGTCAGGCTGCCAGGACATCGTATTTCCCCCATATGGCAGCGCTCACATCAAACATGCCATCTGCCTCTGCTCAACAACCATTCCTCTCCTACTGTCATCAGTAATTACAAATGATTATTTTGTTTCTGGGGAAAACACCCGAATAATGACTCACACAAAAACTCTGTGATTTAAATGTTACATTTAGCAACTTTCAACCTTATCTCTGTTGTTCCCATTGAGGTACTTAGTATAAAGAACACAAGAGTTTCCTTTCTTCTGTGTCTTTCCTGCAAAACTGCAGAATCTGTTGTTCAGTACAATTATTTTACTCAAGCCTCTTTGACACATGCAACACCCCTGAAAATTTCTGCAGCAGAATTTTTCTCCCAGACTTTTGATTTGATTTTTTTTCCCCTGCCAGGCAGCCCTCTTGTTGAATAAGTTTCCACCAGAAGTGGAATTGAGCTGATGTGTGAGCACAGCAGATGAAAGTGAGGAAAAATTCCTCAGGGGAAGTGGGAGGTGGTGATGATTTTTTATATTCCACATTAAGCATTACTATAAAGGCAAAATCTGTCATCATGTCAACACTACTAACAAAGTAGCAAAAATAGCATCCCATAAGAGAGGAGGGTGTTACGGACTAAAAGATGTTTATCCTTTCAGAGGCTCGTTTGACTTTCAGCCATATTTATTCAAGCCTGAGTATAGAGGGTCAAGGCCAAGGCTCAGGGTGCTTGAGCACAATGTATGCTGGAAGTACAGGAGGGCACCAACTCTCCCAAAAATTAACTTTTTTTTTTTAAATCTCACTTTAAAAAAAAAAATGCATATGCCCATTACATCAATCTATCCATTATCTATATTACTTTTCCTCGCTGTCATTGGGCGCGAGGTGGAGCTGCATGCAGGAACCTCCTCACAGTGAGGCTACAGTGCTAACCACTGAACCAGCGTGCAGCAAAAGCCCATTACAGTGCAATGAAAAAGTTTGTCGACTGCCTCCTCTTAATAAATAAATAAAGACAATCCTCATGTTAGAGAGAAAAAAGAAGAGCAATCAAAGGCAGGTAAGACTATGAGAATAGCATCACCTGTACTGCAGGGCTGATTATAGGCTTCTTTTCCTCAAGTCAGCCCCCACTCTCTCTCTCTCCCCCTGATTTCTGACTCTCTCCCCTGTCTATCGGTTAAAGGCGTTTGAAGCCCAAAATTGAATCTTTTAAAAAAAAATGTGATTCACATCATTATGGTTCACATTTCATAACGTTACAATTTTGCAGAGATAGAACTTTGTGAACAATTTTCAGTGCAAGGAGGTTAATTCCTGTCGCAAGCAGACGGTCTATAGTTTCTCGGGCTACATGTTGAACATTTCCTGAAGTTCAGAAGCTGTCTTTTTAAGCTTTATTTCAGTAGCTCGCATTGTATTTTGAGATATTTTAAGAGTTTTTTTTGCAGAGATTACAGGAATAAATTGAAGCCATGGAAAGTTTATGGAAGGATAGAAGAATAGTTTGATAGAGGGATGAATGGATGAGTGGGCAGATGCCTCCTCTGTGCTTTCTTTCCACCCTCTGGCCTCTACTCTAGTCTTGCCTGCCCTTTTCTCCCCCCTCTCTGCAAATCCAGCAAAACAGAATATTGTTCAATTCCCTCTGTTTTGGCAGGGGGTGAAGAGCATTAATTCCCTGCTGGCATTGTCTATTTGTCAGCGGTGGAGCAGTGTTATCTGTGAGAGCCATCAGCCTGACATCAGCTCCCTGAGTGACGCCTGTCACATCCTCCCTGCCAGACCCGCCGAGCTGATTATCAACAAACTGCTCAAAGCATTCTGGATAGCCGTGAACGAAAATAAACCCTACTTCCACAGTTTTGGGAAGGACACAGAGATTAGATTGAGATGTGATATCAGCCAATACAGCAAAATAAAAACATCTATTGGCTCAATCAGAGCGCTGTCACTGCATGTTTCTTTCTCTGGCTGGTTGTGTTTGCTGGCCCCTTTACCCTTTCTTCTTCTGCCTGTTTTATTTTCCTCCTCCTCTCTCTCTATTGTTATTTATAACAGCTTTTTCTCATAAGTCCCCCCCAGTTCTGCCACTGCTAGATGTTTTTTTTTTTTCCAGAGGTGATTATTTGCCTTTTTAAATTGCATGCTCTTTGTTTTTCTCTCATCTTTCTCTCTCTCTCACTTTCAACCCCACCTCCCCCCCCACCTCCTCATATGCTCCCAGGAGTTTGCAGTCGGCAGACAGTGTAATTTAGATCAATAGCTTGGAGCATCCACCCTGAGCTGCGGCATGCTCCACCACAGTCAGCTGTTGGCTCATGAGAAGAAAAGAAAAGTTCAAAATCGAGGAGCCGTGATAAAAAAGAAAAAAAAACCCTGAAGATTTAGATGTGCTATCTCCACAGCTCCAGACTGTGAGCTCTTCTCTGAGGCTCTTCCTACTTATCTCTCCCGTTTGGCAGCCTGATCCCAACTGTCCCTGTCGTCTCTTTAGTGGAGATACATGTCGCATCAGGAGGATGATACACAAGCTGGCTGAGACACAGGAGAGTTAATGATGGCTAACACTGGGCATCGGGGATATGTGCAGCTTATAAAAACACACAAGAACAAGCCAGAGCAGATGTATTTTTGTTAGACACAGTGTAACTGCCATTAGCATAAATTAATGATGAATGAAAACAGAAAGACAGACAGACTGGCAAACAAACAGATAAACAGTCAGACACCCGCGCTATCCGCCCGTGGCTGTCCAAGCAGTTGAAATAAATTGGCTGCCTCATTAAGATTTATGCCGGCTATCCAAAACCATCTCATTTCCTCTCTGCTTTACATTTATCAAAATGTCACTTTGCTGTAATGTAGCTCACTGCTTCATAATTCAGCTCAATTCTGAACTGTCAACAGGAGGCTGTATTACACGGCAGTAAACACTCTGAGGGCGAGTGTGTCCCGCTTCAGTGCGTTCCGGACGAATGCCGTTAAGTATCTCTGGCTAAATCAGGATGGCAGCAGAGAGGCGTGTAGGGCGATGCTGCATGTTCAGTACAAGCCTGTCATTTCTCTCTATGCTCCATAATGAGAACATGCTGTGGTCGGGATTTGTGTTTCTGTGTGATAAAACACATAATAGTGCTGATTTAACAGTGACAAAACACCAGCATGATTGTAAAGGCCACCACATGATTCTGCAGAGCACCAGTTAAAGAAAATGTTCTTTGGACAGTTGGCAGAGTCAATGGAAAACAAGAAAATTGTGGTGATTACTGTTACATTTGCTTTCTCTTTTCCACTTTTTCTTCAGTGATTTACATCGAGCCTCCAGGAGTTTCTGTTGTAAACCGCCTCATAAGAGTTTCAGTCAGCAGCCTCTGTGTTCAGGAGCCTCAAACTGAACTGCAAAGATGCTCATGGGACTCTTAATGCAACACGCTGCTCTGCTGTTTAACAAGTTGCATACTAAAAAAAGATGATAAGATGCACACATAGCCAAGAGGGAAATGTAAATGATTAGCCCCTCCTCTCACTTCCAGGAAGTACTGAGAGAAAGAGAGAAGTGCATTCTTAATGTGTTCTTCTGAGCTTTTCTATTTTGAACAGGAAGATAGTAAAGAGAGAAGATCATCTCCATTGGATGACATCATGATTACATGGCTACTGTCTCACACCCTTTGGTCACGCAGTGTTAAATTAACTCAAAATGTATCTATTTCTTTCCCTTTAAGAGAAGACAAGATGACTTTTTTTTTTTTTTTTCAAATTTAATGATTATTAAAATGATTTTTAAACCCATGCAATGTAAAAGAAAAAAAAGAAAATTGTTCAATTTGAAAATCTTTAGGTAACATCTTCACCTTCTTGGTCTAAAGCAAAAGATTTTACAAGCATCACATTTGACGAGTGGGAAAATAAATCATAGAGAAGGATGTGATTTTAGTTTTGTTTGTTTCAGATATTTTTACACTTCATTATTGCAATTCATTTTTAAATTAAGTGAATAACCCATTGTTTTATTCCATGAAGTATTTTTTGATGTATGTATTGTTACTTTATAATCGAAATAAATAATGCAAACCCAAAGTAAAAAATGAAGAGAGACCTGACAAGGCAGCAACATTTTTTTGTCATCACTATGACTCCGCTGTTTCTTTTTTTTTCTTCAGTTTGTTTAGTGCTAATAAATTCAATTTCCAACTGTGACCAAAGTTGATAATTGGTTCCGGGAAAGTACATAATTTTTTGAAACAGCTCGCCGAAATTCTGAAACAATTATAACTGTCTGTCTCCTGATAAGAGCTGTCATTGTCGTCCTTCATAAACAGATTTAGAGCTCGAGCAGAGAGCAGTAATGGAGCAGCAGACAGAGAATGATAAGGTGATATTGCCCCAGGGAGCTGTCTGCAACAGCAGACTCCTGAAGAGTGGAAAGTCAAAATGTTCAGTGCATATACGCCACAGCTGGTGGACAGGAACATTCAATATTAGTCTGCTCAGAAAGGAAAGATTGAGTAATTATTCCCTCACAAAGTTCTCACAGACATGCAGGCGAGGGCAGAAGAATGAGGGAAATTAAGAACGACAGAGGGTAAGAAAGACAGTACTTTGTGAATAAAAGTTAAGTGTGCTGTAATCGTTCGCCTTCAGACTTCTAGTATTGATCTCTCTCTCTCTCTCTCTCTGTCTACTTATAAAACCTGTAACTCAATATGTCACTGCATGAAATGGCTTTATAATAAAAGGAATATGATTAAGACATTTTGGGAAACACTGTCACACTACTGTCACAACTTCACATTTGATATACAGTTTATAGTAAGAGGCTGGAGGTGATTAGCATAGCTTAGCATAAATACTGGATGCAAGGGCACTACATTTAAAGGTTATGAATACATGCAGATTTTAAAGTTCCTGTGAGGAGTTTTAAGCTCATTATGAAACACACTGAAATGAATATTGATGAATCTATAAGACCTAGAAAGGCAATCCAGACCATTAGTGAAAGCATTGAACGTGTCCATATAGTTATTTTTAATGCCTGTTCATGCTGCTCCGGGGGGGCAAAGCAAAAGCTTCACAGTGAGTGATATGTTTGATGGTTCAAAGAAAGCAAACGCTCAGAAACACTCAAATTAAACAAGTTCAGGATGAGATCAGCAAAGAGATAAGAGGTACTTCTTTGTCCACAGGTGGCGTCAAATTCAACTGGAAAAGTTCCTGTCAGTTTGTTTTTCTAAACTTTTGGTAGAGAAATGTGAAAGTTGGAGAAATTTACAAATTCTGTGGTGTATGTTCATAACTCTATACACAAACTGTCCTCATAGGAACACTTGGTCCCTGGAACACTGTTGGAAGATGATGTGACGGTGAAACAGTAACTCTCCTGGTACCTTTTTTTTATTTCTTAGCTCCAAACAGTGTTCCAGGGAACCATTTTTTCCTTTGAATAAAGTTTGTGTATTTAGTCCAGAACATATAGCAAAGAATTGTTTCACTTCTCCAACTTTCATTGTTTCATTGGACTTTCATATTTTTGGGCTTTTTGTGCCTTTAATGGAGAGATAGGAGAGTGGATAGAGTTGGAAATCAGGGAGAGAGAGCGGGGAATGACATGCGGGAAGGGAGCCTCCATACATGAGCACGCACACTAACCACTGCACCACTGCACCACCAGCGCCCTAAACTTTCAAATTTCACTACCAAATCTACATAGTGCACCTTTGAGGTGGTTCAACTTCAGAAACTAAAAGTATCTAAGCAGCTTCGTCATCAGTTGTGAAAATGTTAAATCAGCTCAATACATTTTAACAACTTAAATAATCAAACTAATTAGAAAAGATCAATTCATTTCATCACATCCAACTTTTCCAAATCAACACGTTTCCTTTCCCTGGAAAGTATAACACATTTCTGTGGTTTTAAAGTGTGAGCTGTTTCCCTGTGAACAGCTGCACCTTCAAACGCAGCTGAAGGTTGTTTTCCTTTTCCTGTATGTGTAAATATAAATGAGATAGAACATACTTGTTAGCGACCTTAAGAGGTGTTGTTGGGTGTATTTCTGGAGAGAATCAGGCCACCTGTTTCCTCCTCCATCCAGCCTCTTTGCCAAGCATGGTGTCTCCACACACAAGTTAACATCCTGAAACCTTTGTTTAGGTGTTTCTTTGTAACATTGATTATTCATGTGAAGGGAATCAGAAGTTTGGAGGAAAAGACATTCATTAGGAGTGCAACACTTGACAACAAGGACCCAATTTCAGAATAAGAAGTCAGAATCAGAAATATTGTTTTGTTTTAATCCTCAGGGGGAAATATACATAGAAATATGAATAAAATGAGCAATATCAATAAGTACAAGACAAAGTGTTTCTGTCATCACAGTTTGATTCAAAACATGGCTGTTTGGATTGCAACTACAACTAAAACATAATTTCTACGAACAAAGTCAGAAGTTTAAATGTTCTCTTTTTTTCTTACAAATGGAAAATATATATCACCATTTACATGATTTTTGAAAGAACTGGTCTCCATACATTGAAATAAATGTTAGTTGTCTCTGATTTGGTACATGAAAGTAACACCAGCTCCCCTTCAAACATGTTGTATGAGACCAAATAAAAAAAAAAATCCCAAATCTTTGACAGAAAATGTGAAGAAGGAAGGTGGCTGAGGAGATGAAATTCTAAAATCCTCTTTCCAAATCGATCTACTTTCATAGTTATTGAAGTGAGTGGTTCTGATTGTTAGAACAATTTTTTTTCTGAGGAATGAGGAGATGTAGAGATGGATCTTCCAGTTTAGATCTGCATGTGTTGGGTCTGTCATTGATTATATGAAGTCATTTTGTAACATCTTCTCTCCCGAAGCTACAGATATTTGGGCTCTGATGAGAATCACATTTCTTGAGGTGCACGTAAGAGGCTTTCTGCATCAGCTGGGGTTGCTGCACAGCAATCAAATGCAACACCACGACAACATCACCAGATTTTAACATCCTCACCTGCGGTTTCAGGTGTGAGTTCATCCTCCAGCGGTCAGCTCCTGGTTTCCGTGGGAAGTCTGCTGGACGACCAGCACTGGCACCACGTGAAGCTGGAGCGGCTCAATGCTCATCTCAACATCACCGTGGATAAAAACACTCAGCAGGTTCACATCCCAGCCGAGCTCAGCAGCTGGGACGTCCACCAGGTGAGAGAAAACCTGCAGCATGAGGAGAACAGATAAAGACAGGCTTTTTTAAATGTGGTGGTTTTTAGTGTCAAATAATAATTGCATGATTGGACGAATATTAAACCTCTTTTTGGCACACTTCAATTCTGCAGCTGCTTACAGTTTGTTTACTGGTCTGTAGTTTCTATTTGTAGCTTACTGATTGGCTCCCAGGAACAACAATCATTACTGAGTGTACTGAACATTTTCCCCATTAAATAAATCTTCTTAAATCAGTCTTAATGTGCGAAAAAAGATGATTTCTTTGCGATGTCTCCTGACTTTAGGATACATCACACACGTCTTATCTGACTGTGGTCGGTCTGTAGCAGGAAGCCCCTGAAGCCCCTGAAGCCCTATTCTTTACCAAAGAGACCTTAGACAACTGAAAACACGAGGAGATGGTATTCTTTCTCCCTCAGTTTCCAGGTTACAAAAAAAAAAAACTCTCTCCAGCACTATCCTACACAATACAGAGCCCTCCCCAGGGAGAATGAGTAACAGCGAAAGCACATAGTGACAGAAACGACCAAGCAGCAGAAACAAAACAAAAAGACAAAGAAGCCTCTTCACACTGTCTCCACCCTTTTGGCTATAAGTAGCTATTCTCAACTCACTGGCATGTACTACTACTATATGTCCCCCTTCTGTCCTTGGCGCCTCTTTCTGTCACCTAACTGTCCCAAAGTTCTCCGCTACAAAGCATTAATGTCGCAGCATTATTCAGCACTAACAGCTCTCCTTCTGTTTACTATTGCAGCACCAATTTACTCCCTAGGTCGGCTCCTCCTCATGTTTGCATGCAGCCCTGCTTTGTGAACTGTTTGTGTGTTATTTTGAACCAGGCTGTAGCCTTGCTCGGCCTCTTTTTCTTTTTTCTTAGCCATTGTTCGTTTCTGTTTTGGTGCAGGCCTGCTCGTCCTCCTCTCATACAAACCATGAGGTTCCAGTATTAGTTCGCAATGAGACAAATTGTGTAACTTTACACTGCTCGCACCTTTTAAGCACACAGATTATGATTGATCATGATTATATTTCTATTCTATATCCCCTCTCCCATTGGTTAGCAGCTTTAGTAGCAATCGATACTTGGAAACACACTATTACTGATGTGGAACGAGATACATTTTCCCACTGAAGCTTGTGAGGAATTTGAGTTTTTTAATGAAGACGAATGTCAAGTGCACCAAAGTTGCTGTGAATGATAAAATACAACCTTTTTACATGAATCTTGTGCGCCTAGCCGCCTACAGGGGTTGACACTCGCATACGTGTTTTCTTTACACTGCCTTTGACATGTGTTGCTTTGGTTGCAGTTAAGTCTCGGAGCTGTGCAGGGCCACGGACTGCAGAAACCCATCCTGTCCAACAGGAACTTCTACGGCTGCCTAGAAAACCTCCTTTACAACGACCTCAGTCTGATAGAGCTGGCTAAGAAGAATAACCACCAGGTCTCCATGATGGTGAGTCATTCTTTTTTTGCATCTTTTAAACTTCATAAATTAAATCTGCCGTCAGGTGACGTAAGAAGGAAATTGTATTTTTCTCACATAACATGTTATTTAACATTCTGGTCACAAACAACAGTCAGCATATTTAAATCCATAAAGTCAATTTTTTTGGACAGGAAAGCTTTCATTTTGACTTTTTTTAAAAAGTCTGATTTTTAAACTGATTTGACCGATTTTAAACCTGAGCAGTTACTAAACTTGTATGCATGTTTGCCTTAGTTTTAAAGTCTTAAATGGGCTTCCTCATGCAACATGTCCCTTTCCTCCTCTGATTCCTGTTCCCGGGTGCTGCTGGCTCATCTTGCATTGTAGCCAGTTTGTTGTATGTGGGTTATGTTATTATTTATGTGTCCATTCTGTACGTGTCACTGTTTGTGAGCTTTTCTGTGTGCTGTCTTCAGGACTGTCCAGAAAATGTACATAGACGTGAATATCTGAGAGGTTGATTATTATGTACTGTTGTAATTTACTACTTTTAGGAAATAAGCAAATAGGGGACTGAGACATGTTAGTTTAGAGAGTGGAAGGAACAGAGAGATGTGGTCACTGGAGCCCATTAATAGGCCATAGGCTCCAGAAGTTATAGTCCTGTTTGTTTTTTTTCAGACCAATAGTTTCCACCTTTGTAGACTTTTATAGAGTGCTTAAAACACATGTTAGTGTGCACATGATGTCACACCTATGAAACAAAGGGATGATACCTGTGTGTAGTTTTTTGTTATAATGGAATAAAATAAAATATCAAGGATTAGAACATATTTTTAACGTCATGAAATGTGTTGTCGGGAACCGGTTACACACACAAGAAGACCTTTCATTCATGAACAGGTGCATAAAACACACACACGCACATGCACACGCACACGCGCACACACACACACACACACACACACACACACACACACACACACACACACACACACACACACACACACACACACACACACACACACACACACACACAACTGTTTATCAATCTTAAAATTCATGTCTGGATCAATTCAGTTACAGCTTTGGGAAATTCTGTTTATTCATTCAACAACTCAAATCAATTCAGACCTGAACTCTGAATACTCTTGAGTCAATAGAGCAGCTGCTTTTTTTTCTTTAACCAATTAAAAAAATACAATCAGTCAGAACTTTCTGGGACTCTTGATTTTCTGTAACGCTAATGGGCACTGTGGTGTTATGTTGCTTCTTAACCTCAAAAACAGAACATCTCTTATTATTTGTTCTCTATATTTATGAGAGTTATATATTTACAGTAAATCTTTATTTATAGATTACATTTTTGACCTGTATCATTGCACACCATGTTGTCGCTCCAGCCTGTCCATGTTTGTGTTCCCCTATTCATCAATATTTTACTGAGTGATTATAAATACTGAACATGTGCCTTAATGTTGCACACCTCTACTCTCTGACTTTCTGTCACTTCATTAATTTTAAACTACTGTCCAGTGCTAGATAACTGTTCAAAAGTAAAGATAAATTTTTTTCTCATTCTAGCTGTAGATTCTAGGTTATTTTTTTAAATCCAGAAGTCGCACTTGTTTTTTTAAATAATTTAAAGTGCTTTATAAATAAATGATGCCGAAATGAGAAATTTAAGAACAAGCTGAGCAGTTTTCAAAGTTGTTCCCCTCTCCGTCCCTCTGTGACCTCCTCTTCTCTTTCTGCATTAATGTCATTATTATGCTGATGGTCACTCTCATGATTATTATTGTTGTCATCATAATTATTTTCATCATCGTCTTTACTTTTATGTCCGTCATCAGCATCATCAGCATCATCATCATTGCCACTGGCATCACCATAATCTCCTTCATTATCATCATGAGGGTCATCACTTGCACATTTTGGAGTAACACAGCCCAAAGCGAAGAAGAAAACACTGAAAGATATTTGCAGAGGATTTGAGAAATAGAAAATGAATAAGGGGTGGAGGGAAGGAGGTGGAGAGTGAGAATGAGAAGTGGAAGAATAAGGAGGCAGGAAGGAGCGAAAGAGAGAAAGTCACTTTGTAATGCATGATTGGTATCACAGAAAACTTTATGTGACATGAGTTTTATTTTTGCACGATAATGGGAATGCACAGTTTGTGCCTCACATTTTGTGCTGAGGGAGATAATGCATTAGAAAAAGTGCTAACCATATCATATATAACCATTATGCAAAGTGCCTTGTTTCCATCGGAAGGTTGTTTGGATTGTGTGAGGCTTTGCAGACATTTTAATCAGGATTTTAAACTTTGGATTTACCTTTCTGAAAAACAAAAAACTATCTTGTTTTCTCATATCAGTTAATCCATTATTAAAAAAAAAAAAAAGTTTTCTCTTGTCATGCTGAGATAACGGGATGTGATACAAATAATGAATAATGGGTGTTAATGCTGTGTGACCCTGATGCCTCAGGATCGTTGGCTTATTTTAGCCGCTCAGCGTTTATCAATATGGTAATATGGGTGTCCTTTTTCAGAGAGCTGCTGGTGAGACCTCTGTGACATCGAGTCAAACTGAGTCAGCCTCCGCACATGATGAATATTCATCTTTTATTATCTCTTTCATAAATATTTCTCTCTCTCTCTCTCTCTCTCTCTCTCTCTCTCTCTCTCCCTCTCTCCCTCTCTCTCTCTCTCTCTCTCTGTCTGTCTCAGGGCAATGTGACCTTTTCTTGTGCTGAGCCAGTTTCCGTCGCTGTGACGTTCACCGACTCCCTCAGCTTCCTCCAGTTGCCAGGGCTGAGGTCGTGGTCTTCAGGGGTCGTCTCTCTGGCGCTGCAGTTTAGGACTTGGAACAAGGCGGGCCTTCTGTTGACCTTTGACCTCCCGCAGCAGGACGGCACTGTGTGGCTGTACCTGAGTGAGGCCAGACTCCGCCTGCAGATCAGTCGAGCCGGCAGGGTGCAGCTGGAGCTCAGCGCAGGTCGGTCCGATACTGTGGATTTTGCAATGTTACACTTTTGTCATTTTACTGTGGAAATCTTGACATGTTCTTTTTGCATTGATCCAGACATCGGATCGTATGGTTCTTGTTAATATTCTTTTATTTGTTTACTGTTAACTGTTTCATTTTGCACTTTACCTTGCATCATGTATTTCAATTCAATTTAATTTATTTTGTATAGCATCAACTCATAACAAGTGTTATCTCAAGACACTTTACAAAATGCAGGTAAAATACCTTACTCTTTGTCTGTTAACATTACAAAAGAGGAGGTAAAAAAGACCTTACTCATTGTTATGTTACAAAAAGCAGGTAAAAGACCTTACTTATTGCTATATTACAAAGACCCAGCCTATCCATCATGAGCACTTTAGCAAAGCAGCAAAAGTTACAGTGGTAAGAAAAAAAGGCAGAAATCTTGTTGGGGGGGGGGGGGGTTGTTCTGGCAGGCCGTCAACCAACGATCTTGAGGAGCCTTAGAGAGCTCAAGAGCTCTCAGGAAAGTAGGTGGTTAGTGACTGAGATTTACAGATAGATACATGCAGTAATATGATGTACTGTATATGCACAGAGAGAGAGAGAGAGAGAGGAGCTCAAGGTGCCAGTTTCCCCGGTAGTCTAAGCCTATAGCAGCATAACTAAGAGCTGGTCTACACCAGCACTAACTATAAGATTTATCAAAAAGGAAAGTTTTAAGTCTATTCTTAAAAATACAGACTGTGTCTGCCTCCCGGACCCCAGCTGGAATGCGGTTTCCAGAGGAGAGGAGCCCGATAACTGAAGGCTTTACCTCCCATAGTACACTTAGAGACTGTAGTTACCACCAGCAGGCCTGCACTCCGGGACCGCAACGCTCTCGAGGGACAGTACGGCACTAGTAGCTCCTTCAGGTAGGATGGTGCCTGGCCATTTAGCGCTTTGTAGGTGAGAAGAAGGATCTTGAATTCTATTCTAGACTGTATAGGGAGCCAGTGCAGAGAAGCCAGGACAGGAGTCATGTGGTCCCATTTCCTGGTTCTGGTCAGTACACGAGCTGCAGCGTTCTGGACCAGTTAAAGAGTCTTTAGAGATTTGCCAGAGCACCCTGACAAAAGAGAATTACAATAATCCAGTCTGGAGGTAACAAATGCATGAACTAGGTTTTCTGCATCATTATGCAACAGGATATTCCTGATCTTGGATATATTACGGAGGTGAAAATAGGCTGTTCTTGAAACTTGACTGATGTGAGAGCTAAAAGACATATGTTGATCAAAAAGAACTCCTAGATTCCTAACAGTGGTGCTAGATGCCAGGCTGATGTCATTAAGGACAGTCAATTTACTAGAAAAAGTCTCTCTGAGGTTCTTAGGGCCTAGCACAATAACTTCAGTCTTGTCTGAGTTAAGTAGCAAAAACTTTCTGGTCATCCAGGTCCTAACGTCCTTAAGGCACGTTTCTAGCTGACATAACTGACTGGTGCCATCGGGCTTCATTGATACATAAAGCTGAGTATCATCTGCATAACAATGAAACTGTATGGAGTGTTTCCTCATAATATTTCCCAGAGGAAGCATATATAATGTAAAGAGAATTGGTCCAAGCACTGAACCTTGTAGGACTCCATGGCAAACTTTAGTGTGCATAGAGGACTCATTATTAACATGTACAAACTGAGATCGGTCTGATAAGTAGGATTCAAACCAACTTAAAGCAGTCCCTGTAATTCCAAGTAAATGTTCTAGTCTGTATAATAGGGTCCAATGGTCAATGGTGTCAAAAGCAGCACTAAGATCTAACAGGACGAGCACAGACAGAAGTCCCCTGTCTGAGGCTAGGAGTAGATCATTTGTAACTTTAACTAGTGCAGTCTCAGTGCTATGGTGGACTCTAAATCCTGACTGAAACTCCTCAAATAAACTGTTGTCATGGAGAAAGTCACACAGCTGTTTAGCTAAAGCCTTCTCCAGGATCTTCGAGAAAAAAGGAAGGTTGGATATAGGCCTGTAGTTAGCCAGAGTTCCTGAGTCCAGAGTAGGCTTTTTAAGTAGAGGTTTGATTACCGCTACTTTAAATGACTGTGGTACATAGCCTGCCAGTAGAGACGAATTGATCATATCTAACATAGAGTTGCTAACTAAGGGAAAGACTTCCTTAAACAGCTTGGTTGGGATTGGGTCCAAAATACAGGTTGACGGTTTCGACGCAGAAAAAATGGGATATAGCTCTGAAAGGTTGATTGGAGAAAAACAGTCAAGACTAATATCTGGTCCTGGAACTGTCTCTGCCGTATCAGACGTATCCGCACCAGGTAAGGGCAGGAGGTTACCAATTTTGTCTCTGATGTCTAAAACTTTGCTGTTGAAAAAACTCAGGAAGTCATTACTGCTGAGGGCTAGATGAGAGTCATGGAGCTATGACTCTCTGTCAGCCTGGCTACAGTGCTGAAAAGGTATCTAGGATTGCCTTTGTTTTCCTCAATTAGAGAGGAGTAGTAGGCAGCTCGGGCGTGACGTAGAGCCTTCATATATCTTCTATGACTATCCTGCCAGAAAAAACGAGATTCTGCCGTTTTGGTCGAGCGCCATATTCTTTCAAAATTCTGCGACGATTGTTTTAGAGTACAGGTTTCTGAGTTGAATCATGGAGCCGCTCTCCGCTGCTTGACAACCTTCTGTTTCAGGGGAGCAATCGAATCCAGAGTAACTCTCAGCGAATCCACTGCACTATCAACAAACTGATCTAGCTCAGAAGGACTAAAGCTATTATAAGAGTTTCCAACTGGGTTGAAACACGGTACTGAATCAAAAACAGCTGAAATAGCTTCCTTAAATCTAGCAACAGCACTATCCGACAAACTTCTAGAGAGCACACCTCTTCCAGGCAGAGGAAATTCTGGTAGGACAAAATCGAATGTAATAAAAAAATGGTATGATAGCAGAGGATTTTCTAGGAAAACTGTAAGCTTATGGATTTCAATTCCATAAGCTAAAACAAGATCCAGAGTGTGGTTAAAATGATGAGTAGGTTCGTTTACACCCTGGGCGAAACCAATAGAGTCTAATAGTGACATGAAAGCTGTGCTCAGGCTATCATTATCAACATCCACATGGATATTGAAGTCACCAACAACAATTATTCCATCACTGTTCAGGACTGAATCTGATAAAAATTCTGCAAAGTCAGATAGAAACTCAGAATATGGGCCAGGAGGACGGTAAACTACAACAACTAGAACTGGCTGAAAGGTTCTTGAGACTGGATGTGAAAAACTAAGAACAAGGCTTTGAAAAGAAGAAAAATTCAGTTTTGGTCGAGGGTTAACTGGAAGTCCAGAATTAAAAATAGCTGCTACTCCACCACCTCGTCCGGTGTCTCGAGGTACATGAGTACAGAAATGACTGGGAGGAGTGGATTCATTCAAACTAACATATTCATCTTGACACAGCCAGGTTTCAGTCAAAAAAAGTAAATCAATATGCTGATCTGATATCAGATCATTCACTAAAAGAGATTTGGATGCTAAGGACCTAATGTTCAAAAGTCCACAGTGAATCTTCTGATTTTTTTTGCAAAATCGTATTCGTAGTCTTGATCCTGATGAGATTTTGACGATTTACGCCTTTTCTTTCTTCGTTTGGATAACTTGGTCTGGACCGGGGGACAGACACAGTACCTATAGTATAACTACAGTTAGATTCAGAATTACAGCTATAGTGACTGGGAGACAGATCTAAGGGAGGCGCAGAGAAGCGTGTAAGACTGCAGCTCTGCCTCCTGGTCTGAACTCTGAATACTTTACCATGTATGCACTTTTCTAGTCTTCTGTCTACTCAAATGCTTTTACACCGCATGTCACACCTACTCATACACCACTGATGACAGAGGCTGCTGTGTAAAGTGTCCATCAAAAGTAACTAATCCCACTGGTGCACGTTCATACACCACTGACAAAGCGTGTGTTCTGCCCAAGTACTCATCTGACATGCAGCTGCAGGAGAGCCCAACGAATGAATATGTCACATACAGTAATCACACACACACACAGGCCGGTCATCATGCAGGCGTGAGCTCTCTTTCATGGATATATCAACATAATTTTTCCCTCCTCAAGATTCAGGACTAGAATACAGCGTTGAGTTGACGATGGAAGGATGGAAAACGTTGTCCACCGCTAAGAATAGAAATTCTGATCTCACAAAGAACCGACCCAGACAAATGTCAGTGTGAGAGTTGTTTTCTTCTCGCACTGCCACAGCCGAGTCCACTTAAACCTCTCTGATGCTTAAAAAAGTGCACGCCACAGTCTTTCTCGGTGTATAGTTTTGTAGCCCATTTGCCATCATATGCCACAGTACGGATCTGTAGTCAACGATAACATGTGGTCATAAATACGGTTAAAAAACGGTGTCAAACTTTACAGAAGAAGACCGTGAGATGTGGGTGAAGATGTCTGTAAAAGCCAATATACAGACCTTAAGTTATTATGTTGTTATTGGACAAAAATGTGTTTCTTGGTCCATCAATTTTTTTAAAGTATTTCCCCTTACTTCAATAATTAAAGCTGTACTCCATAAAGCAGCACAAAGGGGAAAAACAACACTTTCATAAAGGTTTATGAAGGTAAAAAACAACATGATATACAGCAAGTAATAAAAAAATCAATCATTGGTCATATTAAAATCAAATGACTTAAAACTGATTGCACTCATGTCTGTGTGCATGCATGCAGGCTCCGGTCTGAACGACGGTCAGTGGCATTCAGTGGAGATGAACTCCAGACAGGATCAGCTGAGCATCACGGTGGACAAAGATGAAGGAGCCACCGCCCACACCAGCATCCCACTTCCTCTGACCGCAGAAAGTCATCTCTTCTTTGGTGGTAAGAAGACTTGAATGCATGAGTCCTGAATGCTGTGTCTCTGTGTTAGCATTTTTTATTTATGAGCAGTTCAAAAGAAAACTATAGCTGGAGCTGGGGACGGCTGCCAAACACTCTGCATCTTCACCTGAAAGCCTTCTCTTGGCAAATATTTAATTTTGTACCTCAAGTATTTTGCTGACATGCACATATAGGACAGTTTAAAATTCATGAAGGTACTCAGGTAATAATTATCATCTCCAGAACTCCTTTGGCGGTTTAGTGCCACCCACTGAGGGATGAAGTCGTAAAGCTGCTCAGACTCTCCCTCTGCTTCCTCCTCTTCTTTCCTTCAAGTGATCTTTCTCCTCTTTTTCCTCTTTCCTCTTGCTCGTTTTCCCTATTTGCTCTTCTTTATTCAATACGTTCCTCCCCCTGCAATCACCTTCTCAAGGTCTCCTGCACTTCAATTTCCCTCCCCTTACTCTGCAGTACTTTGTGCATGATCACCCTGAAAGCATTCAAACAAAGGCACATGCTGTTGTATATATACATGGAATACGTCACTGCTTAAAGTTCTTGTAAAAAACGAGACTAAAATGACATGGCAGTTAACCTATAAGATCAAAAACTGGCTCCAAATGCTGAAAAAACATACCTAGAGTTTGACCCCGGTTGTTATTTGAAGATATTTCTAATCATCAAGTAGAAAAGATGGTTACAGATGAAGCTCCAGCGCTAAAACTGAGTGTTTTTAAAACTTCTTCCATGCGTCATTGTCACAACCAAAAAGAAAAAAAACGCTCCGACAAAACCTTCTGAACTCCTAACAATTTAAAGTGACACAAACAGTGACTCACCTACCCTCACCTCTCTGCTGCTGGGAGGTGGAACTCTCTGCGTCTGACGCGCTGTAATTAGAGCGGGGAAGAACCCGGAGCAGAAGTGTTGTATGTGGCTGCAGCACGACACAGTCCAGGGTCAACTACTAGCAAGAACTACTAGCAAGAACTACTGCTGGATAAAACAAAAAAGTTCACTGTCATACTTTGTCCAAGGCAAGTTGAGAATAAGAGTGACATGGGTCATCAAAGGTTTCAATACTTTTTTGATAATCTGTTTTTTCTAAACTATTCTGTACAATCTCAGATATATTGATTATCAATTGGATCGAAAAGTACCAAATCTTTAGAAAAAAAACCTTCAGATCTTCAGTCAAATCTTTAACCAAACTCTGCCGTGAGCAAAAGAGAGAGTGCTGTCTAACTTGCACAAATACATTGGCAACTTTTCAGTACCAAAAATGTTTCCAACGTATTTGTACAGTTCAGATCTAATATTGGATGCCTATAGGAGTGTTTTTTTTTGTTTTTGCTGATGTATCAAAAATGGATCAATATCCCCTGATTTTAAAATTCTGGTATCATTACAACCCTACTATACTGAGGTTTTAAATAAGATGCATGCCATATACAATGTGAGAATAAATAAGAGAACAGAAGTATCAATGCATTTCAATCAAGCTGGCATTTTATTTTATGCATTCTCTTTTTTAAAGTTTTTTGCTCTTATAATCACTTGGATTTTTTTCTTTCCTTGTGAATATTGTGGCTGCGTATCCTTTTATTCATGTTCAATCTATATGTCTTCATTTACATTAATTTGTCTTACTGAATGGCCCTTTGAGCTGTAAAATGCTCGACAAATACGTTTTATTTTTTATAAAAAAGAGATGCAGTAGATTCTACAACAATCATGAAATAATAAATCTTGTGCCAACGCTGAAAACAGGAGCAAGAAGAGCCCCAACAATCAGAGGAAGCATAAATATGCAGAACTAAACGTTGACCTCTATGAGAAAGTCAGTGTCGATGGTCAGACTGTGAATATTATCATCATTTTCAGGGTTATGAGTGCAGTCATATGCAAAATGATCAACCTTCACCTGAGTGAGAAAATATTCAGAGTGTTTCACAGTCTGACTGTCAGGAAGGTTTTTACACTGGAATATATTTAAACCGGTTATAATCACTTTTTATAATCACTCTTAACATACTTGAGTGTTAGTTTTCAACACCAAAGGTAAATCACAAGTTAATACCTCATAAAAAATGAGATCCTGGATTTCTCAAATGAAGTGAAAGTCAAGTTAGACGTAACTTTGACACCATGAACTTTCCTGCCCCTGCTGACAAACATGTTTTTATAAAAGCATCTCCAACCAGAATTATTTAATCCATCACACTGACAGTTTGAGCCTTGAGAAATTCATCCTTTAAAATATTATTGATTCAATCTAAATTTTAGATTTCACTCGACAGCTTAATGTTAAACAGTTTGTTTTCTTTGACTTTTGAAAAACTGAATATTATGGTCAGTGATGATTTTAAAGGAGCAATATGTAACTCTGACACCTATCGTTTAAAATGGGTACTGCAATCCCTGCTAACCCTAAAGCCACCTACCATAGCATGTTTCCTAAATGTATGATGATATAGGAAGGTCATTTTATGATTTAATTCAGTAGATATCTTACAGATTGTTCATTTAAATAGAGAAAAATAAAAAATGTACCACTCTTAAATGCATTCATGAGGTAATATGATGCCTGTAGTAACATTTTAACATTACACTCGTGATTGAAGAATATGTTTCACCTGGCTGAGCAACCTGCAGGAGCACTACTTGTAAGTCCTTGTTTTCTCGACACGTTATTTGAAGAATTTCTTGGACGTCCATCAGGCAAGAAAATCTAATAAACATAAGTTTGGCTTAAGGGAACAACAGAGAGGAAAATGTGTTATTTGAAATGATTAAGATTCCACGTTTATTGACGATCGTTCAAAAATAAAACAACAACATAACAAATAGGAACCCTCAATTGAGTGTTGTGTGTGTGTTTCTCGTCAGGTTGTCCTGCTGAAGAAAGCACTCAGGAGTGTGTGAACCCCTTCGGAGTGTTCCAGGGTTGTATGCGCCTCTTGGCTCTGGATCACCAACCTGTTGACCTGATCAAGGTGCAGCAAAGGCTGCTGGGAAACTACAGCCACTTGCAGATTGATATGTGTGGCATCATCGACAGGTGAGTCTATCTGTCTGTCCATCTTACTCCTGCTTAACCCACAGAAGTGTCCAGATGTGATGCCCAGATGCAGCACTTAACTTCAGCTCCTTTGGGTTAATAACGTTCATTCACTTTTCATGTCAATGTTTCATTACTTTGTAAGTTGTGAGGTCTCCACAGTGACATTGATAAACACTCACACTATGATTTATTTGCTTCTTTGGGTCTGGTCTGAACAACATCTTTGAAATTCATATTATTAATGTGTTGGCATTGACCCGGTTTCCCCTTCTACTTTGCTCTACAAAAAACAGACGGCGAAAATGTAAATTCATTACTTTCTGTCCTCTTTGAAATCAATAGTGAACAAAGACCTGGATAAGAGGATTGTACTGAAGGTGTTGGACTGTAAGATCTAGTCTGATTTGGGACTGGCAAAACAATAGACAATAGAAATGTAGACACAAAAGAAAAACATTCAGAGAGTCTCTTTTGTCTGCATTTTCCTTCCTATTTATAACACAAACACCAACAAACTATTCATTCATCTGACTCATAGTCTGTGTATCCAAAGCCTGACATCGTGCATTCATCTGTACAACAGAACTCAACTACTGTCCAAAAGTTACCTAACATTAAAGAACCAGATGTTTCCACTTTACGTTTCTACATTAAAATAAGCGTGACGACTCTCATTCTTCAAACACACAGTTGAACTTGTCCTGCTGAAATAAAAACTCACTGATAAACCAAATTGTCACATTTATATCTTTATAAGCTCTAAGTTCGGTAAAGTTCTTCATTGTGAACTTTGTCAGCCTTTTTCCATTACGGAGGTGTTTTGAGAGACACTGAGAGACAAGGGAGTAAACAAGGGAGGCGTTTTAAAGACTCAGCGACCAGAACAAAAGTAGCACGAAGCAAATTCAACCTGCCAGACGGATGAAATCAATATTAGACATGTCACAGCGGCTGGAGCGTCCCAGCGGCTTTGGGTCTGGACTGAAGCCAGTGCCCTGGACAGCTCCTTTACTGCTGACTAACTGCAGGATCAGGACCTTGGAGAGCGCTGCTGTGTGCTGTCTTACGCTCTCTTAATTCACAGTTGACTGCATTTTATGGGCACATTTGCATCTTTGTACATTCAGCCATTCAATAAGCACATGTATGTTTTATTTATGATCTGTAAAGCATACAAACTAACAGCTCTTCAGTTTCTTACTGCACTCAGATTGACAGAAAGATACAAATCGATACCAGAGTCAATACCAAAGTCGAGAGGTGAAAGAAAGTTGACTACACAATATTGCATTTTCAGGGTGTCCCTTAACAGTTTTATTAAAAGAGTGCAAAGAGAAATTGAGATGTCAAAAAACACCATCTGACAGCGCGGGGGCTCACAGGGGCTTTCTCTCTCAAGAAATAGTTCGAGGGGAGGATAATATCATAATCCACACGCTGCTCTCCACACACTGGTTATGTAAGTTTCCAAATCTGAACCATCTCTCTGGGGCGGCTAAATCACTTGTTTATAACACAGAATGAAAAAGATCACTGAATGAAAAAATCCCTCCCAGAGGCACAAGATAAATCAGGGATTGAAAAATGAGCACCAGGAGCCATTTATGAATGCAACTCCCAAATCGAGCCTCTGTGCACCCTAGCTCCACCCAAAACTGCATTCCTGGGGAGAGACTGAAAGACTTACTGCAGGTGCTGTTAGGAGGATTAAAAAGAACTTAGAGGCAAATGTTTTTCATCTCCTCGTTCACATAAAGTGATTATCACGACCATAAAAGGGAATGAAGTCCTTCCTTAAGACCAGACTCTTTGAATGCTGTAATACACCAGAGCTACACAGCCAGATCATGAATGTTTGGGGTTTCCAGGAGTTATAGACACCTATTATGGCAATTCCAAAAACATCCAGACACTTCAACTACCTTCGAGTGTCCTCTTGTTTTAAGATTAACATTTAAATAAAATGTAAAACAGGTCATTGACGACAATAGAACTGACAAGAACGAACATTGTGCATGACTTTTAAATTAACAGATTGACATTTTGGGAAAACAAATGATTTGCTTTGTTCTCTACACTTAAATAAAACATTTATTGCAGTGTGCTGAATATGAGGTCTGAATGAGCTTTAGCCTACCTTAGCATACAGAGTGAGAACAGATGGAAAAAGAGCTGGCTTGGCTCTCTCCAATACTGAAAAAAGCCACCGTCAACTTCAAAATATCACTTATTCACAAATTGCTTCAACATTGTTTAATCAGTGCAAATACATAAATAAATAACCAACAAATTACCCTTGAAAGAAGTGTGGTTTTATGGTGGTTTATATGTTGGATGATATCGTGGTTGGATGCAGCGGCTTCCTTGAGTCTTGTCACTGGGAGTTTGCTCGACTCAAAGAGAGAATGAAAGAAAGTAGACAAAAGAAAAGTGTTGATTCTGTCCATCTATTGTCGCACTCAAAAGCAGAGCGTGAAGCAGTTAAGAAACAGCCACGACAAGATGGGATGAATTCTCTCCCATATGGCATTTCCGGGTTTGCATTCTGTTGTAGATATAAGGAACAACAATAATAAAAAACTTAGCGAATAACTTTCAGAATTGTTGAACATTCAGGTTATGAAAATTGTTGGACATGAATCAGACGTGGGGAATGTGTTGGTAAGAGATTTTTATATAACCTGAACAAGCCCTTTGTCTCAAGCATACAACGACTTTCTTTCCCCGCTCTCGCCTTTTCTCTCTCCTCACAGTACGAGTGTGCGAGTTCATGTTTTGAAGGGGGATAGATTAAGCTGTCAGAAGGCAGTTATTGTGACCTCTCTGCTTCTGTCAAGTTCCTGACAACTTAATAATACACCTTGTCAAAAACACACCAGCACACATCCACAGAACACGGGTCATCCAGAGGTCCAGCCTTGTTTTGTCCGACTGTCCGAGTATCTGTTTATCTGTCAGACAAATACACACACATGCAAACATCTTACATTCCTCAGTGCTGTCCCGTTTGCACACTCTATCCTGTGTGTGTTTCTGTCGCGTGGCTTTTCCAGGACCAGGTGCAGAGCAGACTAACAGGATCAAATGACTCACCGCCCTCCCTCTCATGCTGCTCAGCAGTCTGCAGATATTTGAAGTCTTTTTAGGACATCCCGCTCTGCCTCCTTGTTAATGCATGTGCAGATCGGGGGAGGTGTTACACCGTGTTGGTTAAGCCTGAGGCAGTAAAAGAAACTGCGGGAAGATTGGATGCAGGTCCTGTGATCCCAAGCTGCGTTATGGGACACTGTCACACCACCCTGGAAACTTCTAGATAAGCTTCAAAGTCTCTTTCCTCAGTTAAACTAGGAGTCCTGTGATCTGAGCGGTGGCCTAGTACGCCGTCGTGTTGCAATGCAAATAAGTCAAGCAAGGAGCCCTATGAAGATTTATATAGAGCAGAGAGTTTGCAATACCCTGATACTCATAGCCCTGCAAAGACCGACGGTAGATTTAGCGACACAGGCTATGGTTCCCAGTTTGACCCAGTGTCATGTTTTTAAATGAACCTCTGTAGTTTTGTTATTCTGTGTTGCTTGTTCGAGGCTCCATGTGGCAGCTTCGCCGTAAGTAAACAGAATGTTGAGACAATGACAAAAACAACTCCGCCAACACTGCTGGAAAGAGTCCCCCTACTGTGGATGCAGATGGCTCATGCCAAGAAAAGTTGTGTTTTCCAAACTTTTGCAGAGTGCAGTGGGAGTGGGGACAAAGTGGATGTTGGAAAACCCATAAACATGGATCCATGCTCATGCATTTGTCTGTTTGTTGGAAGATAAATCTTTCTGGGGCTTTCCAATTTCTTTCCCTGCGTGACAGTTGTGGCAAATTTTATTATTTTCGGCAAACTCAAAGTTGTTGACAAGTAATCTTCACTAAGAAAGGAAAATTGCTGATTTAAAATTTTTTTTTTAAACTGTTTTAATCAGGATGGAGCCTGATAATTTTATACATGAGTAATTACACTGTTAAATTAACCATTTAATATTGTTGGACGAATAATGATTAGCTTTCAGTTACCACTACATCTATCTCTTTTCCAACTGTATCAGAAGAGAGAAGCTGGTTAGCTTAATTTAGCACAAAAAATCTCTATACAAAGAAAGACAGCTAGCCAGTAAGGGCCCATCAAATTTAAAGATCACATTATATATCTTTATGTTTATTTAATACTTACAGACTCATGGGGGGAAAACGTTTTAAAAGAGTTATGTTGTGGTTATACCAGGCTCACAGTGTCCTACCATTTCTTGGTGGAGTAAGCAGTTCTTCCCAGAGCCAGCATCCTGCCAACAAATAGTCTGATACATTACCCCTGTAAACCAAAACTTGAGCTTTGTTTCTGTAATGTTTAGTCTGGACTGAACCAGGCTTGCTCTTTGTCATCTCTTCCTCCCTACTTGCTGAGCTAAGCTAACTGCCTGCTGACTCAAGCATTGTATAAACCTATAAACCTGTATAAAGAGAACTCTGGTAATGAACTCCATTAGATGTGTATCCCATAGTGTAGAGCTTCTTTGAGTACCCTTAAATGTTCATGTCACTACATTCTCTGCAGCTACAGTAAAGTTCGAGGTAAAGTGGCTGGGAGGGGTCAGATGAATGAATATCCAAAATGCCTTGCATGTAGCATTAACTGAAGAGACAGATGCATACAACAATAAAAGACTGTTAACACCACAACACTCATTGATTGGACGCTGATGGTGAATCAAAAAACAAATTACATATCAAACCCAGCAGCACTCTATTATATTGATCTGAGTTGTGCTCAATATTCCTTTGTCATAATCATGTCAAATGCTTATTTCTTAGGCTTTCATCGTGAACCTACAGGAGAAAAGTCCCACTCACATTGCTTTATACTGCATCCATATTTGTTTTCTTAAAATGTCTGTGGCAGAATTAAAGCATTTAAAACAACGCTACCCACTGTCGACCAGTATTATTCCTCTACTGTGCACTGCCGACACAGTCTGTTTGAGTCTCTCTATTTGTGGTCCCATGACCTCTATTCTTCAGGTTCACTCTCCAAACACAGTTGATATCTAGTCCCTAGCTCCAGCTCCCTGCTGCTCTCTTCATCCATCCTCTCCTCTGTCACCCTCTGCCCTCTGTGTCACCTCGTCCCTCCCTCTTTCTTTGCTTCTTTTGCTTCTCCATGCTGCACCACTCATTCTTCCTCAACTGTTAATTCTCTCTCTGTACCTCATTCTTTCATCCTCTTTGATACAGACAGCTATGCTCAAGGAAGTTTTTGTGTGTGTGTGTGTGTGTGTGTGTGTGTGTGTGTGTGTGTGTGTGTGTGTGTGTGTGTGTGTGTGTGTGTGTGTGTGTGTGTGTGTGTGTGTGTGTGTGTGTGTGTGTGTGTGTGTGTGTGTGTGTGTGTGTGTGTGTGTGTGTGTGTGTGTGTGTGTGTTTGTGTGTGTGTGTGTTCTTGTTCTTCTATCTTTGTGAGAACCAATGTAAGTTTTAGACATTGAGAAATGAGGACCAACATGTTGAGGTTAGGGGGAAGGTTTGGGTGTGATTTTAATGAATGTTTGGTTTGAGGAAAGGGGATGCATCATGCTAGGGTTCTATAGATTATAAGGTGCATGATGACAGCACCGAACCAAAGTAGCTTTTTAGGGGGAAAATGTTGAAAAGGTTTTTTTCAGTTGTATTTTTCTTAAGTTGTTAGGTGTTTCTGAGCAATTTAAATTTTTGTAAAATATAGGGATCTTGGCACATATTGCACATATTCTCTATATACTGTGAACATGGCACGTTTCCTGGGGCATTTTTTTGTATCCTTTTCATTGCCCTCAATGCTTAGCCCTGTTAGTTTATAAACAGATCTACTTTGCATATTTCCTAATAAAATGTTGTTGTATATTTTATCGTGCATTTAGCTTTTACCTGCATTAATCTTTATTCTCTTTTTTTATTACCGTTTACTGCAACATGCTACAAAGAAAGATGTGTTTCATTTAAAATCCGACTGTAAAATAATCTGATTCTGCCTTTTTCAGTTCATTTTACACACACAACCTTTGTGGTATTTACACTTGCAATTGTACATTACATTTTTATTTTCTAGGTTTCTAAAAAATCTCCACATTGGCCGTCTCTGTGAAAGTTACAGTTACTGCAGTGCTCTCCTGCATTTTACATTCTGCCCACACCACTGCAAATACAAATGAGTTCATTAGTTCTCAACTCCATTTGATTTAATTGCACCATGCCTAGCTAAATGAATAATAAAGCAAACAGTTCTTCAGAAAAGTTCTTACTGCCAGAAGTTCCCAACAGTAAATCACCTCCCCTCACCTCTAGGAGCGTCACTGTAAACCCCAAATACAGACTCATAGTGGGAAACACGAGGGATACCATCCATTTTACTAGCAAGAGGGGCATCAGTGGGAAGAAGCACAGTAAAGGAAACTCCAAACTTGTACAGAGAGACAACCAAACATGTTGTAGAAATCACAGTAATTAACTTTTTTGGTAACTGTTTTTGTCTCTGTGCAGATGCAATCTATTTTAACAATAATGTAACAAAGGGATGTTTTCAAACCAGCTACTTATCACAACATCCTTCTTTACTCAACTTGAAAATAAAGACTTGAAAAATTGTCTTTTAAAAGATTGAAACTTTTTTATTTATTTTAAAGGCTTTATATGTGATTTTTTGATCCAGCAGATGTCTTCTTTTCTCTAGTCTCTCAATTAAACAACTTTTATACACTCTGAAAACTCTGAAAACATCACAGACAGTGGGACTCGGGTGTTACACCCATTGTAGACAGTCATGACTCACAGAGTTATTTTCAGAGGATATACTTGATTTCTATTATATTTAAGTGTGAAAAATCACATATAAAGCCTTTAAGTGTGCTTTTATTCACGGTACTCCTACACACTTGCTCATCAGAGCAGTCAGGTGTGCAGAAGCTTCTTTCATACCAACATCCTTGAGAAACTTTAACAGAACTTTTGACTGACAATAAGGTTTTCTCTCTCTCTGTCTGTGTCTGTGTCTGTGTCTGTCTCCCAGGTGCTCCCCCAGTCACTGTGAACATGGAGGGAGATGCACTCAGTCATGGAGCACCTTCCACTGTAACTGCTCCAACAGCGGCTACAGAGGAGCCACCTGCCACAGCTGTAAGCAACGAGCCACAGGGCATCCGCGGCTCTACCAAATAAAATGATGAGAGTAGAAGTTTAAATGTATTTAAATGTACAATTAGATCAGTAGTTTATGATGAACTTATTTTTTACACTCACCAACATAATGGTGTAGCCAAATTAATATCTGCCAAAAGATCACATTACATCATTTACTTGAAGCTGGGCATGTAAGGGGTGTTTTTCTATGCTAATTAGAGTTTAGGAGGACATGGCATTCATCAATTTAAGAACACAGTTGGGAACAATAACGCTGTTAAAGAACACATCATGAAGCTTGTTGATGAAACTACTAAGACATGACTCCATACAATAAGACTCAGTTGACTCAGATGGCTTACGTTGATGAAAGTTTATACATCAGATGAATACTCATGAGGAGACATGATTCAACATCACACTTCTGTACTCGTGTCTTGCTCAATCACATCTGCAGAACTTTTCGAAAGGCATCGCATATATCCTAAAAGACATTATCATTATCAGGGTCGTGTCACATTGACCCACCTAGAGTAAACTGTGACGTCTATAACACTGGAGCAGACAATAAGTCTACCAAACATCCTTGCAGATATCAGGATGAACAGTTGACACTCTCTAAGCTGTACTTGGTGTTCTAATAACAACTGAACTCTGTCAGGTCTCACTGACATTAGAGAGCAGTGAATAACCCTAATGACATCTGTACATTATAATCTAAATAACTACAGAAATTCCACCACAAAGCTGACGTTGATTTTTCTTGTAAGAACACATTATGTAAGGCTTGCAATCTCAACTGAGAAAAATTGAGAAAAAACATACATGAGGTTACACAGAACCCCAGTTATTCTATTTCTTCTTGCTTTCTCCGAGTGCAACCACTGACATAAATTTTTCAGGTTTTTTTTAGAAACATTTAAACAAATTGTGAATGAAGCCTTTAAATAACAACCACAGGATGAATACAGTATTCCAAACACGCTCTCAGTGCTTCTGCGTTAATAACAGTGAGACCCAGTGCCCCCTAACACTTAATCTCCTTTTGTGTTATTTCCCCATTCATTGTTTCAGGACTTTAATTAAGCGTGTTCAATCGGGAATAGACTAAACAGACTGGTGGTACTTTATTATGTTGAGTAAATTAGACTACCATTTCATTTCAGAGTCTGTAGGAGTTTTATTTTTGGCTTCCTGATACCTTCACATGGCCTATCGCCTCAGTTCTTCTCATTTTATTATTGCATTTTCAATATGTCCACCAGGATACGATGGGGTTTAGGTTCATGCTGAGCTCACACAGTCCTCAATTTAACGCTATCACTTTGTCACAGAGAAACACTTGGGTCAATTTTTCCCAATTTGTGGCGGATAAACTACAGAAGCAAGCTTTGTTTCTAAAATGTTTTCCCAAAGTTTGTGGGAGAAAGGGATTTAAAGAAAAGCTTCTGGTGAAAATAAATGATGTGAAGAAATGTGTCAGTCTTCAGATATGACCCAATTTTTTCTAGACCTTATTCATAATGTAAAATACAAAATGATCTTTTAAAAGAAACTGTGAAACATGAGGTCACACATTTCCAACACAACCGCTTGAAACACCCAAGTAAAACATGCTTTTAGTCCTTCAGGCTTTAAAAGTGTTGTCTTTCTCTCTAGAATATGAACTACCTGCAGAACCATGACTTGGGCTGAATCTGATATGCTGCTGCTTGACAAATTTAGCCTGATCGGTTATAATAATGCAGAAATATTGTGTCATTTTTATCCACAGAGCCTTAGCTGAAGAAAGAACAAAGCAATCTTTCCTTCTGATAGAGATGAAAGAAACACTTTTCACCCACTTGAAACTTCAAACAGAACTCATCAATCACGACTTCAGAGCAAGCAGAGTGAACCTCTTTCTCCACACTGAATATTTAGGTCTTAGTTTGATGTTTCCAGGTGGCTCATTAGAAGAGGTCAGCATATAAAGAAACCGTCAGGAACAAAGAACAACATAGATTTACTTTCTAAACAATAAGTTCTGTATTGAACCTTTTCTAGGCTGTAGAAGGCTTCCTTTAATGATTCCTACAGAACCATCTGAACATTGTTTATTACAACCAATTCCTTGGACGTTTCCAGGAAACCCTTTGGGTATTTCATTGTGTATTACAATGACCACACTCACTGTGAACACGGGGTGAACAAGATAAAAACACACACACATATTGTTAGAGATACGGAAATGATACCATTCTACCAGTTTTGGTTTTTCATCGTGTTGATGTTGCTTCAAGTTCTTAAGAAAGGCAAGGCACGTTTTTACAGCACATTTCAGCCATAATGCAATTCAAAAGTGCTTCACACAATATATCAAAGTTTTTATAAGGTTGAACAGAGTTGGAAGGCTAACTAGTTTGCTAGCTACTGTAAAAGCTAGCCTAAGACACATCTGAATGACACATTGGAACAGTTTTAGAAACAAACACAAGATAAACGCTCAGCAAAGAAGCCCCTCATCTCAATTATTCCCTTATGCCTTACTGATACATTTCATAACCTACCACATGACCCTTTGTTGCCATCACAACCCAGGGAGCGTTGCCACCTTCAGCAGACCCAGGCTCCATCTATGTGAGCTAACCAGTTAGTTTAGTAAACAATGCCCATACTGACTACAGATCGACTGATATTGGGTTTTCTGGGCAGATAACAAAACAGATTATGAGTCGTTTATGAGACCGGGAACCGATATTTAGTTCCTAAATTCATTAACAGAACAAATGAAAGTCTTTCCATCAAGTTGTAGAATTTGGAATTATTACAAACTCCAACACAACACTTTGTTTTAATGCTCAACCGGAGAATCTCCTCCTGCTCCAAGCTGCTCTCATCTCTGTGCATGTCAGTGGCACCCAGGCTTCAATTATGATTGGCTATTACTCCTGTGGCATCTAGCCAATCAGATAGTGTTGTGGGCGGGGCAGAGTGGTGAGTGGAAACAGATCCAGAGGGAAAGACACACTTGTAGCGGAGCGCTTTTTAATTGATTGATTTTATCGGTAAAATAAAACGATATAGCTATTCAGATAATGGTCCAAATACCTGATAACCAGCCAAGATGATAATTGACAGATCCCTACTGACTAACGTACATCATGGCCCCTATCTGGCCCCCAAAACCCAACTATAACGATGGGCACTGAGAGACAAGACAACCCCAAACCCACACTGGTGTTTGGTCCAGTTAGTCTAATTACACCCTGGCGAGGTTGGACAGTTAGCTCAGGTGACCCAGCCACCCTTCCCCATGCTAGCTCTTATTGCCCACTGTACCTACTCACCCAACCTTTGTTTTCTATCTGGCATTATTGCTCCTTCTAAAAGAACTCATGTCTGTATCTTCTGCAGAAACCCTTAAACTAAAGAATTACAGTCCATGTGCAAGAGAAATATGTTAAACAGCTACCAATCAGTTGTCTATAGAAGCATATCACCTCTCCATTATCCAGAAAGTTATAAAACAACTATTAAATAAAGGATTTTATTTGTCTGTACAAATGTTATATTCCACTTTTGTTTAGGTTAATGTTAATTTAAAACCCTTGGGTTCCTTCAAACAGAGTTTTTTTTTTAAGTCATTCCCTCAGGGCAGGGTTTGTCTAGTTTTGAAAGCTACTACACTATTATAGATGAAACAATTCAAATGTTCTAGTCTGTTTGCTAAATAGGTCAGAACATTTGAACTAGGATGAAAATGAAAGACTCCTCCCTGCCCTGTTTCCCTTCTTGTCTGAGCTTCCTGCTCTGCATTTACAGAAAAAAACGACAAGAGACAAAGTGTAGAGAGAAGAAACCAAAAAGGGAAGTATAGTCAAGAAGCCATGAAAAAAAGACAAAGATAAAGAAAGTGATGATAGGAGCAAGAGGAAGGCAAACAGCATAAGAGATGGAGGCAGAAATCGTGTCAGAGACGGAGAGTGAGTTCTCAAGGCAGACAGTTCTCTCTACATAAATGGATTTCAAACTTGGGGACTGCCTGCAGTATTTTAGGTGAGTCAAATTAGGGTTTAAAGAGATTCAGGCTTTGATTACAACGCCAAGCATTGATTGAATCTTTCTACGCTCCGTTGGTGGTGATCAGCTGCAGGCTGGATCAGGACTAACTTGGTCCACACACACTCACTCACTCACACACACACACACACACACACACACACATCTCTTTGTTTGATTGTTATATTTGGGTCAAAATCTTTCTCAAGCGGTATCAAGGGATCTATCTTGGAAAAGTTTAGAATGACACAAAGAAACAAAAGAACCACGTGTAGACGGTGTGGGAAACTTTCTTCCACAGTTCAAAGATCTTTGGTTTCTTTTCCTGCACTCTCCTGCGGAGTGTGTTAGTTTGTGTTCATGTGTCTATGTGTGTTCTGAATACCTGATCTAACTGAAGGGTTTCTTACACCTTTCTTTCACCTATTTAATGTCAAAAGTTGCCAGTTTTATTGTTGCAAAACTGTGTTAAATTGATACTTGGCATTTTTATGGTGATAATCTCATCCGCCCAATCACACTCCAGTTTGGCAGCAACTTCTCCGAGACTCTTAAATACTGCCTGGATTTTTGGGAGCGCCCTCAAAGAGAAAAAGCGTTTCAAATCAATTTGACAGAATAATTTTTGGCATAAATGTAAAATCATTTGACTTATATTTCTCTGACTAAAACTGAGCCAGTAATGTAGAAAGAGGTATTTTAGCCCAAAACTTATTTGGAAACCTTTCACAGAACCATTTCAACCATTTGGGACGAGTTCAATTTAAGAACGATATCCAATTATTACTATCAGAATATTTCTTTCATTTATTTAATGTAAATATTATCTTATCTTTCATTTAATATACTAACATGTCTCTCTTATTCCGCAGGATTTTATAACTGTAGATGTTCTTCTCTTTTCTGTTAGCAACTTATGAACAGTCATGTGAGGCGTACAAACACAAAGGCAACACATCAGGACCCTATTACATCGACGTGGACGGCAGCGGACCAATCAAACCCCAGCTCATATACTGTAACATGACAGGTAACACACACACAAAGATTCACATCATCATCTGGTTTATAACATGATTACTATTTAACTCTTCAACACATTTTTATTGTCAGAACTTTTGGAAGAGATAAAATAAGTTATGATTTTCCTCCGTGTCTCTGTACTAGAGGACACAGCATGGATGGTGATCCAGCACAACAACACAGAAGTGACCAGAGTGCATTTGTCCCCTGAGAGAATCCATCATTCAGCACACTTTGACTACGCTGCTGAAGAAGAGCAGTTAGCAGCCGTCATTAGCCAATCAGTGCACTGCGAGCAGGAACTGTCCTACCACTGCAGGAAGTCCCGCCTCCTCAACACACCAGGTGGGACCCTATCTCGATGATGTTTATGTTGGATCTGAAGTTGAGCTGCTCCAGAGATGGTTCAGTTTCTCCATTTATGAAAGCATTCTACTGACTGGAGCTGGAAGTTGTCATTTTGGAAACGACTTTGATGCTTCAAAGAAGACATAATGTATTTTAATGAGCTGACAGTTTAAACAGCACTCTGATGGCAGTTTTTTGTTGTGGTAGACATGTTGCTGCACCAACACTTTACATAAAACCATTAAAACATTGCTTGGCATCACTTGTAATCAGGATAAAAATGCAATTAGCATAGCTCAACATTTCCTTTTGTCAGCCATGTTTCAAAGTTTCAAATCTCCACCGACTTTTTAATTTTTTTAAATTTTAACTATACAATACTAATCTGGTTTCACTGTTATTGAGAGACATACTACTCAGACACATTCCCAAAAAACACACATGCACAAACAGGACCTATGTACATGCATTAATGGAAAGATGTCAGAGCAGCGGCTGCACCACAGGGGGTGTGACAGAGCTATTAGGGGGCTTCAGCAGTACTCAGGAGTCAGGACTAACCTGGCATCACTCCAGCAACTTTCACAGCTCCAGCACTTGAACTTGCAACCCTCCTGTTCCCAACCCAAGTCCCTACAGACTGAGCTACTGCCACAGCTTCCTAAGATGCTGTTTACATGATTTCACAGCAATTTCCCTCAGAGCTGATTTCTGATTATTTCAATACTTTCGTAAGCAACTAAAGATGTAGGGTTTGAAGGGAAACTTAAAGTTTCTATGTTTATTGTCTGTGTTTGAGATAGAGGAGAGTGTTGTGGTGGAGTCATGTTGGCATCAGAGATGTTATTTTCTTCATCTGAAGAATCTGTACCTAAAACAACAGAGGACTGAGTGATTTTGTCAGTTAAGTTTCTAATTAAAACATCAATTACACATCTTTTGGGCATTTTCTCCTTCTCACTCCACAGCAGCTGCTATCATTATTACAACACAACTTGATTTCTGAATAACTCATCAGCTGCTTTTATTTCTGGATATTTGTTATTTTGGAAAGGACTCCGATATTCTCCAAAAAATATATAAATAATGGACAGGTTCAGAGGGCGCACTCACAAAATGCATTTTGACCTTATAATGTATTATTTTCCAGAGGAATTTAATAATAGACTTTATTTGGCATGGACATCACAGATACATTGGACGAACCAGGTGCATTGTTTAAGTGTTTTACAAGCGTGTTAGTTCTCAACACCTGAATTTTAATGTTAACATATTCCTTTGAACCTCTGTTTCCACTTGAAGGAATGCTCAAAAGGGAGCTGCTCAGTATTGGTCCATTTCTGTCAGGGAAACATCCAAGATACATGTTTAAGACAGAGTTAAGAAAATACTACAATCACTTAGCAGAAGACACCACATTAAAGTGTCCAATAGTGCAGAGAGAGAAAAACATTGGTCTACTTTAAAGACCTGAAGGGATGGTTGTTATAAGACAGGAAGATGGGAGATGGAAGGGAGGGAGACAAAAAGATCTTCCTATATCTCATTTAATATGCAAGCTAAGTGCTGACTTAAACAGATACATCTACAAAATGTGATGATAACATTCTCTTTAGGAATTTTTTTTCCCAGTCAGCTGTCAATTCTCTGATTGAAACTTACATTCAGTTATCTATTTGGATGTCTCAACTATGTGTTTGTTTGTGGAAAATTCACCTCCGTATTGCTTGTGTATTTGTGTGTGTCTCAGAGGGTGCCCCATTCAGCTGGTGGGTGGGAGGTCCAGATCCAGGTCAGGTCCAGACCTATTGGGGCGGGGCTCTGCCAGACAGCCGGCAGTGTGCCTGTGGTCTGCAGGACAACTGTCTGGATCCAAATCACTACTGCAACTGTGACGCTGACCACGACCAATGGTACTATACTTTGTGGTGTTTATGTGTCCTTTAACTCCATCATATCAAAAAATGCTGAGATGCTGGGAAGCTGATGTAATTTAATAATACTCGACATAAAAAAAGTATGTAAGATTTTGATTCCTGAAAGTGGTAAGCCACAGAGTAATATGCAGACTTTCATTGCGTTGGTGACTGTAATGCACTGCTGAGTAATTCAATCATTTTAGATCTGTGGGATGCTGTTTAAATGCGTACATATGATATGAATGTAGTAACAGAAGTAGATAATCCAGTTAAATCTGGTGAAAACATAAACCTTGAATCAACCTGGTGAGCTGGTGAAAAAACTTCACTTCTGAATCTTTTAACGTCTTTTCAACAGTCGGCCATACGTGCAGACTGTATTTTGGAAATGTTTTTTTCTTTGGAAAATGCTCACTGGGGGGAGTGAGACTGTTCTGTTGTTGTACCCCCAAACGGCTGACAAACCTTAAACCGCAGCATTGCCTCAAAATCTGCAAATTTTGCATTGCCAGTAGGAAACCTCCCTAAGGGGGCCCCTTCTGATGGCACTCACTCTCAATGACCCGCTAAGCGTTGCATGAGTTATCGCTGCGAAAACCAAAATTTGTCAGTAAAGGAAAATTAAGAGCAATTATCTGTCAGGGAGTGATGAAATAAAGAGGAACATAATAATGACTGCTGGTTGGAGGGGTCCCCAATACATTTTTGCTTATAGGGCCCCAACAGACCCTAGAATCACAACTGGCTGCAGTTTTATTGCTGAATAGATTGAACTAATGACAATAATGTATTTTTTAACATAAACTCAAAATGTCATCAGCGTCTTTTTAAAGAAATCCAATTAATTGTTTAAAGTTCCCAAGAGGAGTTTTAGCTTGTAATGAAATTAACGTAAATTCATTCTGATGCCTCTATATGACCTCAGTATCAGACAAAGACCATCAACAAGAAGGTCAACTATTCTATACAGATATTTTGAATGTCTGTTATCACTGCCCACTTGGTAGATTTCAAAAGTGTGTGCTCATCATTTGATCACATTTGCCTTAGAAAAGATTGACAGTGTGTGTTACATATTATTACAGGATGAGAATTTCCATCAGAAAACAGTATTAACACATGCTCAGGAAAATATCAGCAAAAAGCCCACAGGGGTCCTCACAGCAGCCTTTATTCAACTTCAAAGATGTCAGTGTCTTCTTCTTTTAAGGGATAGATATTTCCCTCTGGACAGGGTTCAGGATTTATTTTTGGCAAGCTATTGGTGTTTAGACTTTTAATAGAATGATTCAGTGAAATGTGTCTTAACTGCTCTAAATGAAGTCGTTAATATGATGCAGCATTCACTGTCACATCCTTTAATAGTGGACAGAAAGAACCATGAGACATCTGGGACTAATCCCAAGTAATTAATGCATCCCTTCTCATGTTTCATCCAAATCTGTGTTTAAATCCATTTATCTAAGCTGTAAGCAGTTCTGTATTCGGCTCTCCTTCCACAATACTGTGACCGATTCTACCCATTTTTTTCCATATTGTAACCAAACCTGCCTCTGTTTGCATCAACAAAGATCGTTCTTTCTATTGCCTCTCTGCCTAAATCTGTTCGGCTCCATCTCTATTTTTATACACGTCGACATCTCGAAGCAGTGATTGTGCATCTGCAGTCCTAGATTTCTTGTTGACAACATTTCACTGTGACAAAGTTGATTGTCGAAAAATGATCCACCAAAGTGTGTGTGGTGAATGTGCAGATGGATCACTCAGTCAGAGATCATTTGGATATCGGTTCCCCTTATCAGCTTAAATGCTTGCTGTCGTTTGCACATCTAAACCCAGGAGAACAATCAAAAAATAGTCCAGCAACAAACGGAGAGTGATTTTTTTTTTTTTAAGATTTATTTTGGGCTTTTCGTGCCTTTAATGCAGAGAGAGGACAGTGGATAGAGTCAGAAACTAGGGAGAGAGAGGGGAACGACATGCGGAAAGGGGCCACGGGTGGAAGTGAACCCGGGCCTACCGCTTGAGATGAGAGTCTCAATGCATGTGATGCACGCCCTAACCATTGCGCCACCAGCGCGCCCTGAATGGAGAGTGATTTAAATACAGCAGTGCTCACTTTTCTAATGCCCTTCATCTCTGCTTCTCTTTCACCTTCTTCTCCCCCTCATCTTCTTCTTTGTGCTTTTTAAAAACATCCTTCTCTATTTATTCCTCTTCTTACCAACCTCCTCCTCCTTCGCTCTCCCTCCTCCTGCTTCCTCCACCTTCTGCTTTTCTATCCTCTAATCCGTCTCCTCCTCTCCTCTTTTGTTTTCTTGTTCCCTTCCCTTCTATTTTTTTCTTCTTCTTCCTCTACTCCTTTGTTTATCATACAATTGTGTGCTTCTGTTTATTTTCATACTCCACATGTCCTCTTCTGCCTTTGTCCTCTTCTTTGGTACCTTTTCTTTCTCATCTCCTTCCTTTCTACTTCCACTCTCCCCCCTTCACCTTTTCCTATGCCATTGTCTTTCCTCTGTTCCTCCTCCTGCTCCACTGCTTTACTCTCTCTATTGTCTTCTCCTCTAATTCTCATCTTATTCTTTTGTCATTTCCTTCTTGATCCTCCGCTTGTTTTCAATCCTCTACCTCCTTATGGTCATCATTGTTCTCCTCCTTTTCTCTTTCTTTTTAAAATTCTCCTTCTCCTACACCTCATTTCTGTGTCTCTCCTCCTCCTTCATATTTTCTTTCTCCTTCTTTCTTTTCTTCTATCTTTTCCTCCTCTTCTTGTTTTTTCTCTCTCCTCGTCTCCTCCACATCCTCCTTCGATTCCTCCTCCTCCTGCAGGACTAATGATTCAGGCCTTCTCACCCATAAGGAGACCCTCCCGGTCAGGTCTCTGGTGCTGGGCGACATTCAGCGCTCGGGGTCTGAGGCCGCCTACAGGGTGGGACCTATGCTTTGTCATGGAGATAGTGAGTCAGCCATATTTTGACGTGTTAATTATTTCATGTAGTGTTTTTTTTTTGTTTTTTTTTAATTCAACAGTGTTTATCATTCATTGAGTTTTATTTAACTATAATGTAAAGGATTTCCTCTAGTCATTCCCCCACTGCTGTTTAATTTGTTAATGGGAAAATAGTCTGCAGCTAATTACCTAATTAGCAGTCCAGCAGCTAAAATATGACCGCCTTTGTGCTCTTCAATAACGACTTGTAATGAAAAGATACTCTCTATAATAAATGAACAATGGGGCAATATCTTTTACCTGCTTTAATTGCTTCGAATTTCAGCCTTCAGTTTAATGAGCGGATAAATAAACGGCTTGAGAGATAAATCAGCATAAATGAGATCGCATAGCTGGAGTTCTGCTTTGGCTCTTTGCTAATTAGCGGAACAGTTGGTTCATTTGTTTACAACAGAGTTTTCATTATGCAGTCATCATGCTGCGTTGTTTTAAAATAAGTTTTGCTCCAGAGTGATTTATACATATAAAGGATTTATTTCTCTCTATACCAGAATACTGGAATGAAGGATACAAAACATTAAGACGTGTTTGTGTTTCTCTTAGAGAACTTCTGGAATGCAGCGTTTTTTGACAAAGAGACGTCCTACCTTCACTTCCCCACCTTCCACGGAGAGCTGAATGCAGACATCTCCTTTCTGTTTAAAACGACGTCTTCTTCTGGGGTGTTCCTGGAAAATCTGGGCATCAAGGACTTCATCCGGATCGAACTGAGCTGTGAGTGAGAACTCAACGTTGTTCTGCCTCATTAATATAAACATGTGGCCGTTTCGTTCTGATTAAGGTGTAGTGGCATTGAAAGGAAAACAGATTGTGTTTAAGACCCTTGTAACTAAAATATTTGGTGGTTTTGCTCATATTTTACCGATGGGGGACAACTTAAATCTGAGTTAAAGACATGAGTGCATGAGATTCACGATGTTGATGCCACGTATGGTACAAAATAAAAACTGTTCCAGTGTGATGAGGGAACTTTCAGCGCAGAGAAACATAAATTGGAATATATTGTGGTTACCATGTTCGCCATATTTGCGCTATGCTATCTCAACTTAACTTTCAGTAAAGTAACAGGTAAGGGGGGTAAATGAAACCCTAATGCGACTAACACCTACAACACACCATATTGCAGTGAAATCAGTCAGGCCCCTAATTGTGCATTTCTTTTAGTCTTTAACAAAATCAAAATGGATGAGTTATAAAAGAAATTTGATCCCCCCCCCCCCCCCCGCGCCTGTGCCAATAAAGATGCAAACTATTCAGTTTTACTTCCAGGGTTTTTAAAGCCAGCCTAAAGTGGACACTGGATGAACTGCACTTTTTTGTCATATCTGCATTGGCTTCAACTCCAGAGGTTGCCACTTGTTTAAAACATTAACAACCTGATTTCAAAACATAACTAAATACTACCAGTGAGAAAGTTTTACGAAGGGTAGGGCTGTTCCTAGTGACTAGTTTCCCTTTCGAAGACTAGTTCACTAGTATACAGGTATGAAAACAATTTATTGAAGATGAGGGGCAGCTACTCGTGCAGCCATTGTCGTGATGAGCCGTGTTATCTGTTTAGAACGAGCAGGATCACAGTGTGTGTAGATAAACAACGTGTGGCTAACACTGGCAGTGCTAGCACCTCCAGCCTCCAGTCCTCCTTGCAAGTTAACATCCACATGTCGATATGCTAGTTTAACCCGACACAGCCTACATTACAACTTTATCTCCCTTTTCTAGATCAGAATAGTGCCAAACCGCACAGCTCATAGAAGAGGCTTTATGTTCACTATGCTGGTTTACATCCAGCAATAGAGCGAGGAGCAAAGGCAGAGTAACATGAGCTAGAGCCCCAGCTAGTGGCCGGTGGCTGCGTTACAGCTTAGACACAACATTTCACCAGTAATGTGGGCCTACATCAATAGAAGTACTAATAATTAGTTTGACTAACTAGTAATCATGTAGTGCCTATGAGCAAGGGGTTTCATTTTTTATTCTTTGACTAATCCCGGACATCCCCAAAAAAAGTTATTTTAACCAAAACATCTTTCCAGAAACTTTAAAAACCTTTACTATGGCTCTGCAAAAGTGGTTTCAGTTGTGTTTTTCAAATGTTTTGAAGGGGCTATTGAATTATATTTTGGATCAGGAAATGCTTAGAGGTTGTATTATTACAATTCAATCACAAATGATTCTTTGTTGTTTGGTTTGGAGGACCTGATATGTGGGTAGTGCTTTAACTTCTGCTTCATTTAAAGTGATGCTTCAGTGTTTTCTTGAAATAGGTAGGAGAAGAAATATAGTGCATAAAGTAAAACAAATTTTAGAGTATTGGCTACATTGTTTGAGAGGTGATCGGGGGAGCTCACATGTATTATGTTTAATATCGCTCCGTCTTTCTTTCTGTGTATCTCACTCAAGAAAAACACAAGCACACACTCGCTCAAACAGAGAGAGGACAAATGGCAGCCCTCCTCCTTGGGGAAACCCCGTCATTGTTACAGCAGAGCGCGTCTCTTATCTCGTTGCGGCGCTATTACCGCTGTTATTATGACAGCTGGTGTTGAGATGACTGTGTATCATTATTACTGCTGTTAACATGACTGGAGCCGGGCCATGAGAGCAGTCTCTAAATTAAGTTACGCCTCTGGGTTTTATTTCTATCAAACGGTTCCACAGTCCCACAGCGGCACAGCTCTCCCTCCTCTGTCGGCCTCGTCCATGAGGGATGATGATGTGTTCGAGCACAGATGTCCCCACCTCGCTAACTTCACCCCTAAATGTGGAGCGTGGGCCCGCTGACAGTTGTTATGATGGATGAACGTAGCCTTTGCAGCCTCCATGTATTAGGGGTTAAATTCTAAAACAAATATAAGCTGTGTAAACACTGTGAAGGTTATTGATTACAGTATGCCGACCTAGATAAGGTGAGGAGGTTCACTCCTACAGGGATAACCACACTTACAGTGCAGTACTTAAAACAAAGATCTTATGAAATAAAAGGTCTTGCATTTGATTTATTGTTCTCATATGACATAGAACATGTTCTCATGTCTTTACATTCCCTGCTTCCAAAAAAGTCTTTCTGTGTGATGAAACCATGAAGTGGAGCGAGGCTGCAGGTTGAAGTAGATCTCTGTTAATCGGCTCTGTTAGCCTGTTGTTAAAGTGGCCCTCTTTGTAATATAAAAGCATCAGCACGCTAACATGATCACACTGACATTGGCAGAAAGTTTTGAAGGTAAGATGATTGCCCACATCTATACATTGTCATTGCCACTGCAAAACAGAAAACATGCTCGTCCAAACTGGGCGTGTGTTTGATAAGCTGACTTTACGATTAACCTGTGACAGGTTAGCTGTCTTATTGACCGTAGCAATTAGTGCAACCACATTCAGCACAGGCATGTGGACGTTAATCTGCAAGGACTCAAGACTAGTGTTGCTAGCATTAGCCGAACCTGGCGAACCAAATTGACATTGTTTTCCTGCAGATCTGAGATCCCGTGTACAGCCATGTTGAATAAATTGTTCCAATAATGGTTTGTGATATCCTTAGCTGTTGCCATGTCTGTGCACATCCGGTAGTTGCATATGACCTGAGCTCTCATGTGCCCTCTAGAGGTAACCTCATGTAACATGTATAATGCCGGGCTAACTATGTGAACCAATTTGTTCATGAAGCAGTCAGTTGTGTATACAAACACAAGCTTACATAGTCATTATATCTCTGGCCTTACTCACTCACATAAACTTCCAACCCTTCTCTCGTACCTTGGGTCGATCTGTGAATCATCTCAGATCTGTGCCCAGCTGTCTGTCCATCCTGCAAACAGATGGACAGAAAGGAGAAGCCAATTCGCGCTCCTGCCAACATGTGATGACAGAGGAGCACAGCTGACTAATGGGTTCATTGAAAGATGGCACCGTCTGGATCCAATCTGTGGAGAAGATTTCACTATAAACAGAAGGATAAAATAAGTCTTGTAACTGTAACCCAGTCTCCCTCGAGAAAGAGATTTGAATTCCTGTGGGAATTCTTAATTAAATAAGAGTTATTTCAAATTATTGAAGAGACCTGCAAAGATACAGAGGCATTCAAAGATGTATGTTTGGGCTTATATGCCTTTATTGGATAGGGCAGTGGCTAGAGAAGAAATTCAGACGAGAGAGTAGGGGTATGACATGCAAGTAAAGAGCCTCAGGTCGGACTTGAACCCCCCCCCCGCAACCTAACCGCTAGGCCATCTGCGCCCTGCATTTGTGTTTAAGTCTGTTGTGTTTAACAAGTCAAACGTGACAAACAAATGAAGACTCCCTGAGGTTAAAGCTTTTTTAAAGCTCCTGTAGGAGTTTTGAACGGATTATAAAACAGACTAAAATTAATATTGATGCATTTTTATGGCAGACGAAAGCAAATGAGCCCATCACTAACAAGACTGACTATAACTTTAGAGTTATTTTTAATGCCAGCAACCACTGTCACATGGTTGGCGTCAGACGATACGATTCGCAGCAAATATTCATAACAAGTGCTAAATTTGTTAAATAAACTTTAGTCAGAAAGCACTGTGTACAGGACAAGATCAGCAAGAGGCAAGACATATCTTTAAAATCAACACAAACTCAATTTCTCACAGGAGATTCTCAACATCTTTCGTCAAATGTAGTGGAAAATATTTGGATGATGTCAAAAGCAGTTGGTGTACATAGTTGTCATATATCAGCTGTAAACTTTCCCCTATTGATTCGATTAATTGAAACAGTTTTATAACGTTAGTAAAAAGTTAACAAAGCTAATGAAACTCACTTTATGTTTGCCTACTGCAGTTTTAAGCGTGTCAACAATACTACACACAGTGCGAGGACGGATTGATTAAAGTGTCCCTCTGTGCAAAGATGGGTCGGAGTCATGAGGGATTTGCAATGCCTCACTCATCAGAGGGCACATTATCTCAAAGTGTCAGGGAGAGTTTGTTAATCAGAGCGATAGACTTGAGCGGGAACAAGACAAACTCATTTCGCTTCTGAGACAGCCAACAAGTCACACAAATGAATCTTACAAAGCCCTTGTGACAAGCGCTTCCTTTTTGTTGTTGTCTCACTCTTCCGATATCTAATCCAACTAGTCTGACCATAACCCTCCTCTCCAGCCTCCTCAGAGGTCGTCTTCTCATTCGATGTCGGGAACGGACCGCTCGGGGTGCGACTGGAGACGAGCGTCCCTCTGAACGACAACCGATGGCACAGCGTACGAGCGGAGAGAAACGTGAAGGAGGCGTCTCTACGTGTCGATGAGTTCCCCGCTGCCATACAGGAGGCGCCCGCTGATGGACACATTCATCTGCAGCTCAACAGCCAGTTATTCATAGGTGAGGGGCAAGTGTGTTTCACTAATCCAAAGAATAATCTCCAAGAATGTAAGTGTTGTTTGTATTAAGGTTTTAATTTAAGGTTAGTTTAAGGTTTTGGTGAATGTTGGTGTTCAAACATTTACCTCATTAGTAGCTGAGTGATGATAATAATTACTGTCTCATCCTTTCTTTTCTCAGAGTGTGACCATAGAAAAACATTCACCAATTTAACAATTGTGCAAAAGCAGACTCACAACACCCCAGAGAAAAAAACACATTTGAAAAGCGAAGTGAAGCGGAGAGGTTTTTTTTTTTTTTGTCTCAGTAGCTCAGCCTGAAGTAGGCAGCCATTCAGAGAAAATAAACCTCAGTGGACTCCTACATCAAGTGAATTCTATAAGTCCTGCCAACTATGGCATTATATTCATATAAGACAGAACTCTGGGATAAAAGCTTTGCTCTGCACCACTTAAGTCCCACAAGGGCAGCTGTTGAAGTTCAGGAAAACCAGGAAGCTGCACGTGTCCTATTACAGTGAGGCTCATCCTCAGAGTCCTTTATAACCTAAACTGACCCGAGGTGCCAAGAAACCAGTGAGCGGAGTTAACGAGAGCTGCTGGTGTTTGAGACAAAAGTATTTGATAGGGTAGAGAGATGCTGATTCCAAGCTTTCTGAACACTAAACAATGATTATCACCAATCAATAACCTTAAGGTTTGTGCTGACAGAACTGATAATACAGTTTTTGTATCAGTACAAAGCTTCAATTACATCCTCAAAGAGCCTCAAAGAGCCTCTTTTGCTTGTCAATTAAAAACATGGATACTCATTTCAGAATGGTTTACCTTATTTATCCAGAAAATGTTAAACTCCAATGATGTTTTAACAAAAGGCAAGATTGTTTTGTACCGTGACTTCATCATGATTGCTCCCCCCTGCCCCCGCAACCATGGCAACCACTTGCGAGTCCATCCTGCTAACTGTGGGTGTTTTTTTTAAATGTATTTCTGAGACGCCAATAGCGACCCCCTTATTCCAGGTCTAATTCACCATTTAGAATGATGTCATATAGCGGTCCACTTCATTGTTATTGCACAGTTGGGTTCACATCTCCCGCAGACCGTACTTGAGTACACGTCAAGACCACCTTTTTCAAGTGGACCTGGGCATGGTACTCAATTATAGTACCAGTACAGAACGTTTGTGTTCACACTGATCAAATCAACCTGGCTTTGGGGTCAAGCATACTCTGATCTGGGCCCAGGTTTCTTTCATAAACTGTTTTAAAAATGAAAAACCTCTTGAAGCAGATTTATGTGATAAGCTGGCAGTAAAGGAGTATGCTTTAGACATGGCTCTAATTGGCCAATAAACACAGAGGAAGGAGCCCGGATTGTGTTTATTTACCGTTATGTAGCTCATTTCAACAACCAGACGATTTAAAGTTCTTTACAGAGATAACGTCTCAACTCACAATCTTATGGGTTGTTAATAAGAAATACTCCCCATTTCATTTCCTTAAAAGAGATAAGTGCTTATGTTTGAAACACAAGTGATTCCAACAGTGGTGAATATTGTGCTTTAGTATTTCTTTAGTATTCATAATAACAGGAGTCAGAACTTGCGGTTCACTCAAGTCAAAACAGAGTGTGGAGCAGTGATGTGAGTCGATGGAGATCTGTAATGAATAAACTATTTCAGGCTTTGGCTATTCAGTCGATACCTGTTATAGGGATCAATTCATTGTCTGAATTTAATGACTTTGGATTTGTTGACAATGAGAATAAAATCGAATGCCAGCTGTTTCCTTCAAAGTCGAGATAACCTTCAAACCCAACCTTAAATCCAAGCGGATTATTTGATCGTAAAAGGAGAGATTTGGGGTTCTTTTTATAAACTTTTAAACAAAGTTAAAACTTTTTTTCTCTTAACTTTATCAGTTGAAACTCCCTTATCTTCATCTCCTCCACAGACTTTCATGATTCTTGTTAAACCTCCCGTCTTATCTGCAGAGCTGCGTTAAGAGGGGGATGAAATCCAATCTTGTATTTTGAAGCTTTTATCCTTCAGCAAACATTCTGGACATTTGCTCATTTGTAAACAAACATTTTTGAAAAGAAAATCAACCAACAAATAAATGACGAGATCGGGGAGATGCAGATAAAAATTGAGGTGAGCTTTGACTGTGCGGCTGTGTTGAACTAATAATCCCCTCCGAACAGCCAAAAAAGAAATGACCACGACTCAATCTCTGTATATTTGCAGCAGAGTTTGGGTCTGTGTTTACTGGTGATGCAGAGGGATTGGTATATATTTGAATGGAAATGTGATTGGAAATGGGCTGCTGTGGGAGAGGCTGTTTGTGTTTGACAAAGACTAGATTTACAGCAACGCAATATGCATGTCTGTCCCTCTACTCTTTCATTTTGGGAGTTTTATTGTTAATCCATAATGTTAGCAGCCTCCCATCTATGAAAACATCATTCATTGGACTGCAAAGACACATGCGTTGCTGAGTTACATGTCCCATTAGTATTGTATAAAATTGCCTTGTATAACTTAATAAGAGACGGTTTTCAATGCACAGAATTAATAAGATGTCATTTAGCTTTGGCTGAATTAATATGACACAGAGTTGTTCTGGTTCAGCTTCATGTATTACTATGGGAAGGAATACATTTTGTACACACTGAAACACACACATAATCGTAGTTAAAATAATATGAATCAAACAATCTTTATTTGTATATCTTAACAGTGTTATCTAATGAATCAGTAAGTGTTGGTTATGGTGCTTGTGTTTGTCCTTCTGCTTTGTTCTTGCATGCTCAGATACAGTACAGAGGTATTAGATTGTAATATTGTTGAGGTACTTGAAATCGGTTTAGGTCTCAAGACCGGTCTCGAGAACACTTTTTGAAGGGCTTGGTCTCGGAATTGAAAGCATTTTTCCTCAGTCATGTCTCGGTCTTGGACTTGGTGGAATCCGGATTTCAAATGAAGACCGGTCAAGACCAACACTGAGAGGCTTATTTTTACACGTCATTACTGGGATTAGAAGAAAAACGCCTTTTTTTAAAAGGATGAATAACTTCAATTCATTCATAACTCTTGAATCATTTTTATCCCCCAGGTTACAGCTGCAACCTCCCGAGTGTTCAGGTCTAAGTGAGTGACACGCACTTTGCACACAAGATGATTTTTTTATTTCTATTTATGGTCTTGGTCTTGTCCCGGTCTTGCCCTGCCTTGGTCTCGGTCTCTATCCCTGAATGTCTTGGTCTCGGTTAGTGTGGTCTTGACTACAACACTAGATTGTAAATTCTTCATTTCAACAATTATTATTATTTTTTATGAAATATTTATTTTTGTCTTTTTTGGAGAGACCAGACAGTGGAAAGAGATGGAAAATTGGGGCAAGAGAGAGAGCAGGGAATGAGAAGCCAGAGGTCATATTGAACCCAGGCTGCCTGCTTCAAGTATTACAACCTCTGAAAAGGGTGCAACTGGGGTTAGAGACCATGGTTGCCAGATCAAGTCCCAGAATGAATAAAGACTGAAACTGGGCTGGTAGCTGGTAATGTGCCATTTTACTCCCTGAGCACTGCCGAGGTGCCCTTGAGCAAGGCGTCGAATCTCAAACTGCCTGGGTCACCAATCCCTGTGCAGCCCCCTCGCTCTGCCATCCCTCCATATCTCTTATGTCTGGTCTATAGGTCCTGTTTGTGCTTTAGGTCCAATGTGTGTGAAGTGTGTCTCATGATAACAGAGTGTGAAGTTACATTTCCCTCAGAATGAATCAAGTAAATTACATTTTAACAAGAATTGATTGTTGGTTGGGTGATGGGGTCTATTACCTGCACAATGTTGCTCTGCTAGTTTAAAAGATAACCTCAATGTTAACCAGATAAAGTCTTATGACTAAAGGTGTTCATTAGTTTAATAGTTCTTTCATGAAAATGTACCCTGAAGATTTGACCCTTTTTTGACGGTCTCAAACCTGTATCTTCTGGAAACATTTTCTGGATTAAATATCAATTAGTAGAAGTTTTCAGTGTGTGTTTAATTCGGTCTAATCAAACTTTTCTTGATTGAGTTGTTTGAAGATTGCTTAATTAAGTTTCTTAGTCTGTGCGCCTTCAATGTGTTCTCTGTGTTTGAGAGCTCGTGCTGCAGAAGGAGACGGTTTGTGATTTAACAGTCTGAGAGGCTGCAGGCTGAACATTTCAAACGTCAGACTCAAACTGTGAGTGTAACACCTTTTTAACTCCAATAACAACCTTCACGTCTGGATAAAAAAAAACAAGATGTCACCAGCTTGGAACTCCAGGAAAAATGTGATTTCACCAGGTCTGAACTCTGTTAACAACATGAGTTTGCTGCAGTATATTATCTTCTTAATTGTCAGGTGGAAAGAGGAAGAGATTGTTCCTCTCACCTCTTAGTAGAAAGGATGGATTTCAGACTCCGCTGTTGGTCAGTACACAGCCAGCACACTGATACATCACAGGCAGTGTCGGTGTGGGATTGCCCTGCAGAGGCGATACAGTCGTGTTGTGCTGATGTTGCAACATGTGGCTGTCAAGCCTAATTTGCTGCATGTAAGACAAAACAAAAGTTGTATATTTAGAGTCATACAAAGACTGTTGCTCTTTTTCATCATCACTTCTTTTTCTGTGGGAGGTTGAATGTTGATTAATAAGATTGTGGGGATTTGTGCAACATTTTCCCCTTTTTTATGTTACTCAAACTTATTTGCTCATTTGCTGCTCTAGCAAGAATTGCTTTCTCTACTCCATTTATAAAAGCTTATTATTATTCATACAGACTTGTGGTATTAGCCTTGTTAAAATGTGGTAATCTAAGGGATCACTAACATCTTGTAGGGAATGTTGAATGTATTATTCCCCAAATAATTTGAGGTTATTTCAGTTTAACATTTCCAAAGGTACAGGCAGCCTCTATCTCACATGATATTTGCTACCAATAAGAGTGAGGAAATGAGCCTCTCCCCATTTTTTAATCTCTACTCCTGCCTGACTCTGCTACCATCATGGGTTTTCAAAAGTAGAAAAATATAGGATCCATAATTTTAAACGTGCTACGATCCACACAGTAAAACAAGACAATCTCTGCATCCGCCTCCACACTGGAGGAAGAACTGAAGTGACTGTGGTGCCATTATTTGAAACCAGCTGTGGTCCTGGTTATGAGGATCTTCTCTGCCCAGCATCTCGCAGCCATCTGTCATATGGCGGTGGGATGGCCTCGGTGCATACATCCAAAATCCAAATCTAAAAATCCAAACAGATATCCAAAAGTTTGCAGTCCTTTGTTTTGACTAAACTTGGTTGAATCCAGGAGTGGGGGTTGGTGTTGTTTAACAGAGTGACTCTGTATCTCTGCACAGACCTACAAAACCTGCAGACAGGTCACATAACTGTGATCCTGATTCGACTGAATATTAAAGGGACTGATGGAATTGTATTTAGTGATTTATTGACCAACCTTATCATTAATATTGTTTTGGGTTAGCTTATATGTTCAAAACAGAAGACAGGAGTCACAGCCTGGGGATCATGGTCATATGAGGATTACAGTGGGCTTGTTATATTGACAAATAGAAAGACCCAGAACTAGAGAATAAGCCTTTCTCTTTTTTTTCAGGGGGCACCGCTTCCAGACAGAAAGGCTTCCTGGGATGTATCCGGTCGCTGCAGCTAAACGGCGTCACTCTGGACCTAGAGGAGAGGGCAAAGATCACCCCAGGGGTCCGACCAGGGTGCCCGGGTCACTGCAGCAGCTACGGCTCACTCTGCCAGAACCAAGGTCGCTGTGTGGAGAGAGCCAACGGTTTCTCCTGCGACTGTGGCCAGTCAGCCTACACCGGATCTTTCTGTCATCAAGGTACAAAACATTTGAATACACACACACACACATTTCAGACTACTCATATCATGAGCTTTTATCACAGATTATGTGTCTTTATGTTAGATTTTCAATGTTTTTGGTCCATCTGACACTTTAACTGAGCAGCAACCTCGGTTGTTGAAAAATGTTTGGAAGTAAACCACTTGAGAAAAAATAAATGGTTTAATTTATAGCTAATTTCTTTACTTGTAAAATCTGCTTAATTGTTTAATTATTTATGACTCATTTGTTTTGTTTATATCAAGGCTAAGAGTTAGGTATACATTTGCAAAATTGGGGGCGTGGCTGATTTGACTGACAGATGGGCCCATTGCAGCTGTTTTGCAGGAGGCTTAAGGCCAGCCTCTACTTGACCTCCTTCACCTTAGCATGTAGCTCGATTGATTGAAAGTTAGGTGGAGACGACATTTCCAACATTGGGACTGCAATCATTTGGCTTCAAAATGTTTTAGTCAGAAACAGATGGGTGACGCCATTGAGACTACGTCCATGTTTTGTACAGTGTATGATATTAATATCCTTTAGCCTCCGGACAGATTCCTTCTTCTTTGACATAAAGTTTTTTTCTCACGGGATGAGAAAACCTGAGAGCTGACCTCATATGAAAGGAAGTCTCTTTTTAGTCTTTTATCCTTATACTTTCTATATAAATTTAATTTCCTCTTGAATAAGCAACGGTAGCCTAATTTAGCTTTGATATGTAAATAAGTCTTTGTCTAAAGAAGAAGTTAGATGTCTGATATACGACTGATCCAGACTTCATTCATGAGATAATGAACGAATAGGAGGAGTAATATTGGGCATTGTAAGTTTGAAAGATAACATAAATGTTGTATTTTAATCATTATCAAGCTGTGAAATGTTTATAATATAAAATCCTAATCCTGCAAAGGTTACAAAAATGGCTTGAGCTGGCCTATAGTGACATGTTTTATTTAAAAAGTTCTTCTTCATCATATATTGCTCTTACCTGTTTTATTTACATCCCATCTTGGAGGTTATAGTATTCATCCCACATGGTATCAGCAAATATTAGTTTTAATGACGATTTAACTTGCACCGAAGAATTTATTCCTGCTTTTTATTGCATTTTATTTTTCCAGCCCAGTCCCTTCATCCTATTCAGAGAGCCTCCAAATAAAGATCTGTTTGCAGGTTAAACTATTGTTAGCTTTGCTGCTGTAAGTTAAAAAAAATAGAATCAGACTTTGTAATATAGCATTAAGTAAGGTCTTTTACCTGCTTTTTGTAAAGTGTCTCGAGATAACACTAAAAATTGATTGCTTGATTGATTGACTGGCATGTTGTGCAAAAAATAATGTAAAAATGAGGCCTGTATTTCAACCATGATCATGAAGTCCACATAACGACGTCCTTTTGATATTATAGATACCAACAGGTTATTTCTGCAGACTGTGTTCATTTGCTCACACACTGTTAAACACGCAATGCAAATTCTTTCCATAAAACTTTTACTCTTTTGTATCGCTGACCTTAACCCATTTGACTATCTTGAATTGTTTATTTCACCTCTTTCACACTAAGTTTATAAAAAATTAAAAAAAAACAGGATCATTTCGACCTCTGATGCCCTGCTACTTTAATGAGAAGAAGAGAGCAAAGATCAGACACTTTCCTGAGGAGGATCCTTCAGTGAGCAGACTTCAGACTGACCCTGACTGTCTGTGCTGTTCACTGTCTGCACCGTTTATCCTCTCCACCCTGAGTGGGTCATAATGAGTCTCCTGAAGGGAGAGTATTGGGATTATCTTTAAGGACCTCTGTCTGCCATATGATTCATCAAGGGTTTTGATGCCGCTAAAAATATGTTGTTAAAAGGAATAGTTCAACAGGTCAAGAGTTGTTGCAGTTACTGAAAAATACACTTCTTTTGCTTTCTCAGTTAGAAAAGAGGTCGAAACCATTCCTGTAATTATCCATTTAGCATCTAGAATGTGCTTAGCTTAGCTTAGCGTCAAGTCTAAAAGGACATGGGGACAAATGGACAGTCAGGTATCAGGGAATAAGTTTAAGTGGCAGCCACCAATCAATACATCAGTTGGTCTTTTATAACCACAATTCATAACAAACTGTATCTCAAGACTCTTTAAAGTCCAGGCCGTACTCTCGATGAAAAGCTGATCAGCTGCGTTGAGTTTAGAAAGTTGGGATAGAACACACAAATCATCTCACCACACGGTCACCTTCTACCCTTCAGAGGTTTCAGCCAACTTTAAATCGACAACATCCATCGCCTACAACCTCCAGGAGCCCTTTGAAGTGAGCAGGAACAGCAGCACTGGGCCTCCCTCCATCTACGCTGATGTGACGGCGAGAGAAGAAAACATCTCGCTGAGCTTCAGAACCAATCAGAGTCCTGCTCTGCTGCTCTACATCAACTCGTTCTACAGGGAATACCTGGCCCTGCTCATCAACAAACAAGGTGAGGACAATAAACATGTAGTATGGGTCAGGCAGGACAAGCTTCCTTTTTATTTTGAGACCTTTTTTCATTTCCTCTCCTTCTCCTTTTTTCCCCCGCTGGATGTAATATTCCTTCCTCTTCCCCCTCTTCCTCCTCCTCCCCTCTTCCTCCTCCTCCTCCTCTTCCCCCTCTTCCTCCTCCTCCTCCTCCTCCTCCTCTTCCCCTCTTCCTCCTTCCTCCTCCTCCTCCTCCTCCTCTTCCCCCTCTTCCTGACTCCTCCTGCTCCTCCTCCTCTTCCTTCCTCCTCCTCCTCTTCCCCTCTTCCTCCTCCTCCACTTCCCCTCTTCCTCCTTCCTCCTCCTCCTCCTCCTCCTCCTCCTCTTCCCCTCTTCCTGACTCCTCCTGCTCCTCCTCCTCTTCCTTCCTCCTCCTCCTCTTCCCCCTCTTCCTCCTCCTCCACTTCCCCTCTTCCTCCTCCACTTCCCCTCTTCCTCCTTCCTCTTCCTCCTCCTCCTCCACTTCCCCCTCTTCCTCCTTCCTCCTCCTCCTCCTCCACTTCCCCTCTTCCTCCTTCCTCCTCCTCCTCCTCCTCCTCCACTTCCCCCTCTTCCTCCTTCCTCCTCCTCCTCCTCCACTTCCCCCTCTTCCTCCTTCCTCCTCCTCCTCTTCCTCCTCCTCCTCTTCCCCTCTTCCTCCTCCTCCACTTCCCCTCTTCCTCCTTCCTCCTCCTCCTCCTCTTCCCCTCTTCCTCCTCCTCCACTTCCCCTCTTCCTCCTTCCTCCTCCTCCTCTTCCCCTCTTCCTCCTCCACTTCCCCCTCTTCCTCCTTCCTCTTCCTCCTCCACTTCCCCCTCTTCCTCCTTCCTCCTCCTCCTCCTCTTCCCCCTCTTCCTCCTCCACTTCCCCCTCTTCCTCCTTCCTCCTCCTCCTCCTCTTCCCCCTCTTCCTCCTCCACTTCCCCCTCTTCCTCCTTCCTCCTCCTCCTCTTCCCCCTCTCCCTCCTCCTCCTCCTGCTTGAAACCATGCACAGTGTCTGGTTCAGAGAAAACAGTCTGTGAAGTTACTATAAAATGATAATTCTGTTTTTCTCCTTTGTTCTTGCCATTGTGATTATTTACTCACATCACTGTAGAGCTCCGCGTTGCTCCAGTTGGCAGGGAGCATTGCCAGGATTCCTGCAAAGCATAATCGGATTTACAATTATCCATTGCTGTAACTTCATTATGCTGGCTAAACACAGGCGACTGAAAGCTTTTGTGAAAACACACCTTGGTAACCTTAAACCCACGGGGGTGAATGTGCTTTCTAAATCTGTGTCATGAATAAAAGTTTTCCTAATTCAGCTGTTTGAAGTGACTTTCAGCTTTTTTTAATGACTAAGAGAAAAGCTGAGAGATGACAGTGTGTTGAATAGTTGATCAAACTGTCAGGTGTCTGCACTCTTCCTGATGTTTCTAATTTAATCCCTGAGAGAGGTCTGATGCCTGAGAAAAAGGCTTTTCTCTTCTTTTTCGCTGCTGCACTCAGAAACGTTATGACACACGACAGCTTGAAACACCTTTTGCCCTCTGTGAGACTGTTTGAATTATCAAGATGTGTTCTTATGAAAGAATAACTATTCCCTATTAGTCTCTTTCTGAAAGAAAGTAACACTGTGACTGGTATTAGAAAAGTTAGAAAGGGCATTATGAGTGTGGATTATTAGGATTATTTCCTATCATTAGTGCTCATCTATACAGCCTGCAGAGATCTCAGGGGGGGTCGAATTATCTCAGTACAGTGGAACTTATTATGAATAATAGAATTGAAAATTAATTTAAAACATTCTGAGTTATTCAGAGGGATAAAGTATTAATCCTTGTAGTGTTCAGTGGTTGGTAGCTTCTTAATTCAGCAGCTGGTTTCCAGAAACTCTCTGTTATATTATCTACAAAGACACAACATCAATCCATCATGAGCACAGCACTAAGCAACATTCAGCGAAGTTATCATGTCTTCTCAGAGCTAAAACTGTGGACATGTTTGGAAAATTGATTATACGCTTAATTTATTATCAAAGACTTTTGTAAAATGAGTCTTTTGCCATTTTTGCATCAGCAGCATCGTAAAAAAAAAGCATGAAGTTATCTTGATTTTCACGGCACATTATTATTCTTTACTCATATCTGTCTATTAGAGCTTTCACACTTGCTGGAAACTCCTGAAAAACTCCTGATATTTCCAGGAGGAGCTGTATGTGTGAACGCAAACAGCCACACTTTTCACCTGGACTTCACCTGTAGTTTCTCCTGCCAGCACCCCTAGTATTTTTTCCACAGCAAACAACTATCTGGATATTTTCAGGGGTGCATATGTGAAAACGGCTTAATAGTCAAATTGCTTCAGGGACAAATAAAGCTGTGCTCTCCCTTAATCTGGTGGATTTTATCTAAAGGTTACACAAAACTGCAATGTAATAGATATTGGCTTTTTGGGGGTCTTTTGGTGTATAAACCAAGAACCTGTGGAATTGCTACTGCTCTTAACAAGCTTTCCAAAAGAAAGATCCCTTTTGAATGCACTTTGTATGTGCTTGCATTACAGAGTATGACTCTATCGCTCTTTTTGTGTTTTGCACAGATGAGCTGGAACTGAGGTACAATTTGCAAAGCAGCAGAGATGTTGAGGTGCTGGGGGGCAGAGTCACAAACTTGGCCGATGGACGTCTGCACTCAGTGACCATCAGGAGACTGGCAGAGACTGTCTCTGTTCAGGTAAACACACGAGTAATAATCCACAGTGTGACACAGGGGTTGGTTTGAAAATGTATACTACTGTATGTGAACAAAAGAGTGGGGGTTAATCTTTTTTTTTTTACTTTAAGGTGCCAGAGGCGCCTTTAAAAAGACATACTGACATCCAAACTGTGCTTTGAGTTGTAAAATAAATCAACTACAATCACTGCAAACACCTGAGAATAAGACTGTGCAGCGACGCTACTGGCTGGCTTAGCTTATTTTGATACCTTGAAGGTCACTCCAGCACTACCAAACAATCATGTATACTGTGATGTAAATACCCAGCTTACTTATGTTCCTTTCAGTGGTATCATAATATAATACCAGCTTAGATAAGGCTGGTTTATTGTGCTTTATTAAATCAATCTTGGCTTTTTTCTTTGGTGTCATGGTTTTGTCACACATCTTTAAAAAAGACAAGAATTCCTTACACCATGAAGTGAAAAGGTCCAGTCAGCTGATTGGTGGGTCAAAGCTCTACCCAGTGTCCTTGAATACTAGATGTTAAATGTTAAATGGACATGAGCTTGTATAACACCTTTCTAGTCTTCTGACTACTCAAAGCGCTTTTACACCGCAGGTCACACCTACAGTACATTAATGGCAGAGGCTGCTGTACAAAGTGACCATCAGAAGTAATTTATCCCATTTATACCTCGACGGAAAAGCAGTGGGAGCATCTATGGGATAAGTGTCTTGCCCATGGACACATTGGACATGTAGCTGCAGGAGCTGGGGTTCAAAATCGAACCCCAGACCTTCAGATTGAGCCAACTGAGCCACAGCCGCCCCTACAGGACAGTTATGGCGGATAGCTATCTATTTTAAACGATGATTCTCACACTTTGCACAGAGATTTTCATCTTCCTTCCTCTAACAAAGGTTTTTAGTCCCAAGGTGTTGAACTGCTATCACTAAGCTGAACATGCTGATATATTTGCACATACATATGGATCTGTTTATTTTAGTCCTACACTTGCATTTACCCTGGAGTTATTCAGGATTTTTCTTTATTTGAGTCATTTTTTAATTGATTTTTAATGATTTATATTCCTCTCTCTTTTACGCCTTTGTTACGCCATAGTTTTATTTTTCCCTTATGTGCTGTCTCGTGTTACGTCCCTTTTGTAGTTGTGTGTCATAATTGATGTCATCATCTTGCTGGCCGCAAATACTGTAAATGTGCCTGAACCTGTTAAATGGGACAGTTGGTGTGTGTGCACATGTATGTCCCAACCATGGTTCAACTACAACTGAGCATTAAAAACAAAAAAAATGATCTGCAGCCTAAAGTGAAAGTAAGAATGATCTGAGCTGATACACAGAAAAGATTGGTGACACTACAGGCAATTTTGATGTACAGGTATCTACTGCTGTTAATTGTTGTCAAAGCAAATCCTAGTCCATGTGTTGCTGTGGACAAGAGCTACAGGACACATCAGCCACCAGTTTTCATAGTTAAAAAAAAAGTGTGCCAGGTAAGTCTTGCCTTGGGTATTCAATCAGTTAGAAACCGCTCAGGTCAAAGAAAGCGAGGAGATTTTTTTTATTTATTTACTATTTTTTTTAATCCCTTTTGTTTTTGAGGCTCCACTTTGGTCTCGAGGTGATCAACATTAGCAGATGTCTTATTGATAAATGACTCACTAAAGCTCAAATCTCTGTGTTTGCAAGCCATACATCAAGCCCTCTGTGTTTCATTACAAAGAGTGTCTCTCTCTGAAGGATTGTCCACCTCAAAACCTGCTCCACTTACACTCCTCTGCTCAGCTACTGCAATATACTGTATGTCACAGGTTAACTGGTTTCCTGTTTTGGGAGTGAATCCAGTTTACATTTTGATGATCATAAAAGAAGCTGGACATTTTAACCTTCCTTTTTGCTCGAATCTAAATGCCACCATTTGTTGAATGTTGTTTTTCACAGTTTTGTCCAGTTTTGTTTCCACCAAGTTTTCACCTTTACAGATGTTACATGATGTTATCTTTCAGATTGACCAGAATCCTAGAGAAGAGTTCAACTTGACATCTGATGTGGAACTCAACAGCATCAAAACGCTGATTCTGGGCAGAGTGCAGGGTAAGTGGGCGCTCTCTTAGCGCACACAACAGCACTTAGACACTCTCATTAGCATAACAGCTCTGAGATGTTTGGCTTCATGTGACAAAACGCTGCTCTGGAGCTTTCTGCTGTTTTCTCTTCTTAAGGTTGGGCGGTCTGAAGGGAAACTGCAGCCTGAACAGCTGTTGGGCTTTTAAAAGACAGACACACTGACATTCATATTCAAACAGTCACAAGCAGCACTTTATTGTGAAGATGCAAAATAGAAGGAACCTCAATAAAGGTGGTGCCACCCACTTAAAATGCTTTTAGGTGGCATTTTTGAGGCATATGGCAGGGTAAAGCATCGTGCAAATGATTTTGTTTTTTCAGAAATGCAGAAGTTCAGAAAATAAAGTCTACCATTGTGAACTTTTATCTGTGTTATGGATGCAGTGAGTAATACCTTCTTTATGTCTGTATAGCAGAGCGGGCCTTCAGACAGATGTAATGGTAATAACTTTAGAAAAGGTCTTTCACTTTGTATGGTAATGAGGAGAGATTGAAAAGAACAAATTACTTAGAAGATTGGAGTCAGCACCCTGCAATTCAGCATAACAACCAATAAGTCTGAGCTGCTGTGGGTGGGGTCAAACTTAACCAGGAAGTCAGACAGTGCAGATCAGAACATTTCATCACTTCAGTCGTCCTCTACAGGACTAATCTGTCCTCTCTGGCTTCTCTAAAAGGATAATGATTTTATTCCAAAATTGTACAACTGTCATTCCTCTGGCAAAACAAATATTTACTTTTAGATAGCATCGTCTCAGACAAATTTTAGAAAAATGAACGATTTTAGAATATTAAAATATTAGACTTTGAGCCCTCACCTGTCTGGTTTCAGACCTTTGCTTTGTACTATGACTACCCATTACATTAGTTATAAATAATATTGTTTTGAGTGAGGACAAGAAGAAGAACAGTGCTTCTTAGTCAGTGACTTGTTAAAACCTTTCAATACAGTCTCATTGAGATTATGTGTTATTGGATTAGATTTCAGTGCTTGTACTTTATTTAGAAAAAGCTTTCTAAAAAAAAAAACATCACTCTGTCAAAACTACTACTAATATCCCATCATCCTAGTTTTACCAATAAAAAGAGGTGTTCCACAAGGATCAGTTCTAGGCCCTGTCTTATATTTTATTCATAATTTGCATCGATAATATTGTTTCATCAAAAAGACTATAAAATCCATCTTAATGTCGATAATACAATCAGTCTTAAACTAGTACTTAACTCCAACAAAACCCAGTTTCCAAGAGCAAGTGAAATTAATTTAACAGTCTTAACTATTTCAGTCAGATACTCTTTAAGTAGTTTGAGTCCACTGCTTGTTTATGGTTTAACATTACTGAAAGACTTAAGTGTGTCAAAACTAGACATATCCCGTCAGAGTTTTTAAAGGTGTCCCACAAGGCTCAGAACTGGGCCCTTATCTTATTAACAATTTATATCTAATATTGTCTCTTCTATAAAGACTGTAATATCTAATCGTATGTGGATGATGCTATTCTCTGTTGTTTTTCAGAATCTGTTTGACAGACTGTTTAAAACCTACAACATTCTTTAAGTCATCGTTCTTGTGTAATAACCAGCTCTACATCTAGGCATATAATTGCAAGGCAAGGCAAAGTTTATCTCTGTAGCACATTTCAACAACAAGGCAATTCAAAGTGCTTCACACAAGACATCAAAAGCATCATGACAGAGGGAAAGTGATGCAAGTTGTTGACAATGGTCATGTTAGTATGTGACCCCGCCTTCTCTATACTGAGCCTCAGGGCTCCAGCAGTCATATCGGTATCAGAGAAGCAGTGAGATAGTTGATGTATTGTAACTCCCAGCCAACGCTGTCATCCATCGCCCTAACTAATGGACCAGGAAAGACTGGAGGGACTGACATACCCAGAGAGAGAGAAAGTGATAATGAAGCTAGAGTGAGGGTGTGATAGTGAGACACAGAGAGGTGGACAGTAATCATCCGTTCCTACACAGCTCACACCATCACCAGTGAGGGAACAATATATTAACGTTAATACTTGTGATTTATTTAAAATTGCAGCAATGTAGCACGGTACTATCTTCCCTTATTCTGTATTTATACTCCACATTCTAGCATCTCACGTGCTTAATTTTGTTTTCTTGTTTTTAAAACTTTTCATTTTTAGGCACTTTTTTCTTTAATATCCCTTTAACACAAAGGCACCATGTTTGACTTAATATAGCGAGTAAACAAACGTACATGAATACTTGGTCAAGCCAGTTATTTTTTAATTAAAAAAACCTCAGAGAAAAATTCCTCTGCCTGCATGTACCTATACAGGAAAAGAAGCTTTCAAATTATAGCATAATGTGCAGCTTTGGACAATCTTATATTACAGCTTTTACTGTAATAAAAAAATTCTCCCATCTCAATCGTTTATCCTTGAGGCCATTCAAAGGTTATTACCATATCATGTGTTTTTAAATATTTAAATTTAAGTCGAATTGTTTCTCCCTGCTTAAATAATCACATCCAAATGAAAACTTATCAAGGTCTGATTAAATAAATACAGATGATAAACTGCGCTGTCCAGACAGGCCAATCCTCAGTGACCTCTTCATTTGTTTGAAAAGTTGTTTCTCCCCTAAATTTACTCGACAGGTAATGATGTGCTGTGTGATCAAACTGTCCTGCAGGAATAATTGAAGTTCACACAGACCTTCACAGTCTCTGAAGATTTTATTTAGCACCTGTGGTTATTAATAGTACTGCGAGTGTGTGGCTATCTTAAGGATCATAGTCGCTCCTTTGTTCACACACTAGGTTTTATTTTTAGATGTGGTGTCTGCAGCAGTCAAACAGATGTTTAAAAAAATGTTTAGAAAGTAAAACACTAATCTTTCAAAGTGTCACAAATAAAGCAGCAGTTTTTCTTTGCATGAGCCTCACATCAGGTGCGAATTATCCAACACGATTTAGTATTTCAAAACTCTTCTCCAAATCTTTTCAACCTTTCTGAGGATACTGACGGATAAACTCTTATGGTTTGATCACCTCTTTGACCTTTTCTCTTAAAACCCTTTCAGATTTAACCTGCACTTGTACACAAAGTTAAAATATCATAGAAAAGCAGTGGGGTTTTTTTTCACCCACCACTCCCATTTCTAACTGTGCAATTCACATTGTGGTCTCTTCTAATGCCCCCACAGACCCTTTGCTTATCAGATGTTAATTAAAACTGCCACAAAAACAATTTTATAATCAAAAGTTGCTTCCATTTCATCAGCGGTGCAACAAATTGCCTCCTTTGTTGTATTTCGCGCTACAAAATAAATCTCTTTCCTACTTATTTTTCTTCAATTAGGCCTGTGCATTGATGCAATGCCAATTAATAGAGAGACTTTCCTTGATGACTTTCCTGTTTTAAGCAGTTTTTGGCAGTTTGATTGGCTTAAGATTTTGTCACACGAGTATCTGCAACGACAAGCACCCACCAACACAGCCCCTGGGCATTTTTTTTAACCCAGTTCTTGGTCTGAACTCCCACTGAGAAAGAGGGGGTGCTGATCTCATTATGCAAAGATTTACAGTGGCAGAGAGCAAAAATACATTTTTGAGAATAACTCTGGAACCGGTCTTCCTATATATAATTATATAAATAATGTTCATATTGGTTGACTCTGCAGGATATGATTTATGACCACTGCCAACCAAGTGCAGAAGCAGGAACTAGTGCGACCTTTTATGTGCTGTAGCATGACAAACAGCAACGGCACAGAATTTAACGTGTTTGACTTTGATGCTGGATGCCACGATTTACATCTTCCTCAGACAAACCGTTTCTATCTCAAACATTAAACATGAAATAATCTTTCTCTAACCTTTGCCAAGCTTTTCAGCTACCTCTGCATTCAACATGCATAATAAATGTTCTAAAAACCTTAACATCCAAAACTTTGACTTTGATGGCTGTTTAATATTGACTGCTATCAGTTTTATTGGGCAAATGGGATGGTTAAAAATCTGTCCCAGAAGGTTTTAGTAACATCAAAGAGGGTATTAACATGATAAAGATGTAGATAGATACCACTTATCATTGTGACCATGGGTCTCATCAAGATAATGTTTATCGCAGCTGCATTTCAAGTCTGTAATTGGAACTTGCTGATAACAATTTGTCTTCTCACTCAGTCTCTCTTCTCTCTGTGTCTCTCCGCCTGTGTTCAGAGTCTGATGAGCTGGATTCCGAGCTGGCAGAGATGGCCTCTCTTGGGTTCACAGGCTGTCTGTCAGGTGTTCGCTTTAACTCCATCACTCCTCTAAAAGCTGCTCTGCTGCACCCTGACAGCCATGTTATTGTCACTGGACCCTTGGTGCAGTCGAGCTGTGGTTCGTCTTCTCCTGCTAATCCTTACACAGCGGAAACCACACACTCCTTAACAGGTACAACAGTCACACCCTGCCCTTTTATCCTATACTATGCATATACTGTATACATGTAGGTAACTGCCCCTCCATTTACAAATGTGAAGTCCCTTTGTTCAAAAAGGTTTAATTTATCTAAAAATCCACTTTTTGGCTACACAGGATCAGGTAATCCAGTTTGAAAACTATAATCAATTTTATCCAGATAAGATTTTTTTATGTTATATTTTTGGTCCTTTTGCCGTTATTTGATAGGGCAGTTTAAGAGAGACAGGAAATATTTGGAGTAGAGAGTCAGGGGATGACATGCAGCAAAGGGCTGAGGTCAGATTCAAACCCACGGAAGATTACCCAATTCAGATTACCAGTGCTCTAACTGGGACTACATACTTTGTCCAGAGGGGGCACTAAAATCCATGCGCAGAGGCTACAGGCCCTGGACCGCCCCAGGTCTGAATCATAGACTGTAAATATTACGGTCTGAATCTAAGTTAATATGCAAATGGAGGTTTTTAAAAAAAAAAACTTTATTCACCAAAATGTGCATACACACACTCACACAATAAAAAAAAACATATACAAACAAGAGGGGAACTGTGGTATGATACAGTTTTGCAAGCAGATTTAGACAAAAGCAAGCAAACAAACAAAGAAACGAAACAAAACAAAACAAAACAAAACAAAACAAAACAAAACAAAACAAAACAAAACAAAAGGAAAAGGGTCAGTAAATAAAATGAATGAATTAGAAAGAGGGGCAAAATAAGTAAATGAGCAAACAGGACAAAGAAAAACATGGGGACGGTATAGTAACAAATAACACTGGTGGGATAAGTTGTACACATGGTGATGATTTTTGGTGTTATTTGTTTGTTTTTGTTTTGTTTTTCACTTTGTATCACAAGTGGAGGTTTTTATCTTGATTCGATTACTCGATCCGAATTAAATTCAGAGTATTTTTTTTTCTCTTTTGAGCAACAAATTTTCATTAAAATGAATGGCTGTTATCTGGCCCATCCTGTTTTTTCTTTAATATTATTCTCAGGGCAGTTCATTAAACTTTTTATTGTGTCATTAACCATCCCCCTCAGTGGGCAGACAGAGTGAGGGCACATAGGCAGATGAGATAAGTCAGACAACTAGAGTAAAGTCTGTGCTGAATCCTTAACAAGCTCTTTCTTCTACAAGTGGACTCTCCTCACCTCCTATAGGCAACACATCGTTATCTTATCTCTCTTCTGCATCACATTCTTTTCTTTCCTCTTTTTCTCTTTTCTGGATTCCGTCTCTGCTTTTTGTTATGTTTTCTGTCTTTCTCACTTTTCACAGATCAGCCTGGTTCAGTGGATCCAGGTCAACCTTTAGTCAACGCCATCAGGAGTGACTCTGCTCTAATTGGAGGTAATGCAATCCACCTTAGCCCCAAGTGAAACTATTCATTTAAATATCCAAACACTGGAATATTTCCGGTCGTGCGAGTGTCAGTAGTTTGACACTGTGAATAGAAGAAGCAAGAGTTGTGTCAGAGTTTCAGATTTTGAGCAGGAAGAAAGCGAGGAAAAACACATCTTGATCTTGAGACTGAGAAGACAGGGAGGGGAAGTAAGGTTCGGCTCTTAATGATGAGAATCTTTTGTGAGAAATCACAAAATGCACAAAAATGGAGCTGCCGACAGGAATAAAGACTTTCATTTCTACTTTAAAGCCACTTTAGCTCAGAGTTCAGCTCAGTCAGGCAGTATTTGTCTCTCCAGCTGCCTACCTAAAGAGTGCACTGCAAAGTTTGCTTGTAGAACAAAACAAAAGGTTACTTTAAATAGACTGATTTCACGTCAAACTTGAGATCAAATCAAGCAGAAACACTTGTTGAAGTGCAAAATACTGTGACTCAAGCATCTACTTTAGCGGACTGCAGAAGCAAAGGAAATCTCCATTAGGTTTTTACAGTATAAATCATCATGTTTACAGCCTGGTAGCAAGAAACCAAATTAACGGTTTGATCTGCAAAGCATTTTTTTACAACTCATCTTATATTACTTGGTACATTTCTGTCTTTTAGGGGTGATTGCTGTCGTGATCTTCATCAGTGTGTCGGCGCTGGCAATACTGGCCAGATTCATGTGCAGCAAGAAGGAGACGTACAGGAACCAGGATGTCAAAGCGGCTCAGCCTGAAGACGGCCATGAGATGCCCTTCAGCAGCCAGGCGGACTCTCAGAGCGCTCCCAGAGAAAACCAAAAGGAGTTTTTTATTTAGCAGGAGACCCTGAACTCCCACCAACCTGACAGGACAGAACGAGGTGATTTATCAGGAGCTCGGTGCTTTAAGAGACACTCGGAGTCCCTCAGCAGAATGTGAAGTCCAAAAACAGAACACTTTATGACTTTCTTTTGCCACCTTTCTGCTGTCATCTTGAGGATGTTAATATCACAAAATGTAAATGGTTATTTGTGTGCTTATAACAATGTTTACCTGCCATATTGAAATGTTTAAATTAATTTATTAAAAAGGAAATAGACGCGATGATCAAAACACAACTTTGTTGCAGTTTAACTAGATTTTTGGACCTCATGTTAATTTACTTAAAAAAACTTTTTCTACGAGGACGTCAACCTTCCGGGTGTCAAGATGTCAGAGCCATAAGATGTGCTTTAAAGTGAAGACTGAGGTTTGATTTCTACCCGTCAGCCAAAGCACTTTCCCAGAATCAACTGAAATCCATTCCTGATAAGTGAACATCATTTTAACACACACTGTATGTATTTACACAAAAATAAAGTCAACCCTAAAACTTCTTCTTCCACTTCTGCGCTTTATCTTCGAGTCAGTCAGACAGCGTCGATGTTACTCGCTGTGATTTGTTTCTATATCCTGAGAAAAATAAAAGCTTAACAATGAGGCTGACATGTTTTAAAAACTTTAATTCTTCCTGTGCCGCCTGCAGTGAGCAGCCGTCACCAAAACTTTCAAAAGTATAGTTTCCAATAGCTCAAAGCTCAAAGCAGCACAGACTACAAGACCTTGACTGTCACCTCCTTCAGACGTTGATCGTGTTTCTGCTGGAGCACTAATCTGTGTTTGCTTGACGGGTTGACTAAAAGATAATCAGAGTGGGGAATGGAAGGAATTGTAGAGACGCTGAGGAGAAATGATGAAATGAGAACGAGCCGCAAACAAATATTTATATTGGATATACTTAACTGTCGCTGCAATACTTTTTTTTAGGATTAAAACTGAAAGTTTGTTTTCCTTCCACAGTAAGGTTTCATTATCAATGACTTCACCTCATTAGTGCTGAATTTACATATTTGTTCTTTGTTTCCCTCATATCGCTCCATCTGCAAAGTTGTTTTTTTTCTCGCTCACGTAACATTGCAGATCATTTTCATATAAACAAATGTCTCTTTTGATACTCTTTAGCACAGAGTAACCCCGCACAGTATTTACACGGTTGATTGAAGCATTTACATTTGCGCTTCTGAACACGTGCTGCCTGGTAGCTCTTTCTCAGAAAATCCCTGTGGTGCAAATAAAGCGTCTAATATTTCCTGGGTAGTTAACGGGAGCCACGACTGTGCACTGTGCATGATAATGAAGAGAGCACAACAAAGACAGACTAAGACATGTGAAGGCAGAAGACACTGCAGCCTGAGAATGAGACTGTTTGAGTGACAGGACATGTGAAGTTAAATCACCAGAGCAATGACTTCTTCGTGCAGAAGATGTCTGCGTACATGACTATTATAAATACACCTAAAAGAACATTATTGTTTTATGCACCCTGAAGGTGGAGAGGTTGATTAATTGTTGTGCTGGTGTTGCAGAAACAATTAAGACTAAGCAAGATTTTAAAAAGGATCAAACAGCTGATATGCCACTTAAACACGTGACCAATGCACGACCTCCTCGCTTCTGGTGCGGGACCAGAGAGAGCTGAGGAGAGAAGCACAGCACATCTTTGTCATGGTTTACTGCACCAAAATCCCTTCTTTTCCCTTCTTATGCGAATGGCTCCATTGTTTTTGATTATGGTCGTTTCCCGCTCATGGAGAGTGAGTGCACAAGGAGAGTGTGCAAATGGTACAGTCAAGACATCCAGACGTTTCAGTCAGTCTTATGACATGATTGAGGAGGCTTATAACAGATCTCCAGAAGGCACAGGATTTTTTACCTTTTCTTCTTAGAACATTCATATTTTTATATATTACATTATGTCGGGTTGTAAAGATTATTTCAACAAGTAAGGAAAAAATGTGTCCAATCTAAATTGCCTGCCCTATCTTTAGGTTTCCTGGTAATTTCATAACATTGATATCTGCATAGTGAGCAAAATATTAAACAATCTCTTTTTCACTACACTGATAGTGAGAAAGGGCCAAAATCGCACACTCCTCCAAAATGATCTTAAGGCCCTGACACACCAGCTCCGTCGCTACCCATCGGCCCCCGTCTGCCTTCTCTCAGCTGATTCGACATGTTGAATCGACGTCGGTTGGTGAGAGGAATCACTCTGATTGGCTGTTCAGCTAAGCGTACAGCTAAGCGATGTACAAGAAGAAAAGCAGAAGTGACAAAAGCAGGTAAACCACGTCAACTTTTCATCAGACATTATTCTCGATTAGAAGAGCGTATATTCCGAGTTGTGAGCGTTGAGCGGTGTCAAAATGATCTTCTTGCATCGTGAAAGCGGTTTATACTGTATATCCTCTTCTGGTTTCCCCTTTTTTGAAATGACGATTACGGACTACTGCCCCCTGCTGGCATGGAAAGATATTTCCTCTCTCTTGGCCGTCAGCTGTAGTCTTTGCGGTGTGTTCAAGTGCAACTTTTTGGCCAAGACAAAAGGCGTCATGAGGCGATGCCACAGTCGGCCTTTGTCGCAAAAAAAATTTTTTTGCCGGCTGCTTAGTGAATCAGGGCCTTTACTTGCACAGAAGACCCCAAACAGCTTAAGCACACTTGATATTTTAGAACATTTTATTGAAAACATGTCAGCTGCTTTTGATATTTGCAGTTGATGAAAGCTGCTGAAATATTCAAACCTCTGTGTAGGACGTTAAGCCTTATTCTGTAGTGGTTCAAAGGTTATAGAAAAATAAACATTGGAAACCCTCCTTTAACAGAAACACCAGCTCCTTCACTTTACCCTCTTTATCTCTGTATGTTTGTGGAGTCTCAGTCATTGATCAGACTTAAACGATGTGCAGCTTTAATGTGCATCAATCAAACCCATTCTAGCTGCTGGGACTGCTCATGGTGTCAATAAAAACTGTCATTACCAGTCAGATTATCTTTACAATGTCTACTTACCTTTAAATCAGGATGTTGACAAAATACACATTCACTACAACGAGTTTCTGTCAATTTTGCAATCAGACTAAATTCATGTCCGGCTCACCTATAATTTTCCACAAATGCTTTTAAGTCAATTTTCATGGATTCCTTGGAAGTTCAATTTCTGTTAAAAGGAAAAAAGGGTAATTATTGTAGCAAAAAAAGTGGTGGAAAATAACATGTTTTGAGAAGGCTGCGGTCTTTTGTTTCCCTGTTAAATGAAGCTGAAACACAGCAGCACTTTCCCTTCCAGAGCAAATTAAATTTACATAAATTTACATCCCAGATTGTTGTTCCTCCTAAACTTTTCAGGGCAGGGTACTTTTTTGCACTACATAACACTATTGAAGGGTAGTAATATGCTTCTGTCTGAAGTGTAGAGACAAGAGCAGCTGACTAAATGACTAAAACTGAAACATGATCTAGGAGATGCAAATGTCAAGGGAATATTTTATGTTGATGATATTCACTCCAAAATCCAACCAATAGATCAACTCAAAAACACCTCTGACACTAGAAATGGAGCCAGACTTGACATTTTATAATGAGTTTGATACTGTACTTGTACTTTTTCCACTCGATATGTCCATCTGTATTAAGGTGTGCATGTACAGTAAGTAAAGCCTTGGAAAATAACAGAAAATCACTGAGTCAGGTCTAATCAGTAAAAGTGGAAGCATCTCTGTGTCGCTCTCTGTAATGAAAGTTTTAATAAAAATGTAATTTGTGCTAAGGTGAAAGGACAATTTAGTGTGTAGAAAATGTTGACTAGAAATGTTAAAGACCATGTAAGCTAGTAACAAAAAAGAACATGTTGTAAAATAACATGAAGAACAGCTATTAAGCTGAAAAATGAAAGAACATGAAGTATAAGTTAACCTTTAAGAGCCCACATTCTCTTTCAATGCAGCTAAGATGTTTTCAATTACTATCTAAGGAAACTTGCCAAATAGAAACTAATTCCTGAAGACAGTTTTTTTATATGTGGAGGCATCAAAAGTAAGCTTGCAGCTGGCATGTCAATATGTTGAGAGGATGATTACCAAAGTCCTCCTGCCTTCTACTTCCAGTTCATTTGTCTTATTCTCATCTCTCCTTTGGTAATTATGAACTGGAGCTGCTCTTAATGTGATCACACTGTATACAGGATCTGGGCTTTGAAGATCTCAAGGTATTGTATTTATGCAGTAGAAGTAGTTTAAAGGGATATTGAAGAGGGGTTGAATGAGGAAGTTGTCAGAAGTAAATTAGACACAGGTGAGGCTGGTCAGCGTGGCCCTTTTAAAATCTTTATGTGTGATTTTTCACTCTCAGATGTAATATAAATCAAGTCTATCCTCTGAAAATAACTCTGAGTCATGACTGTCTACAATGGGTGTAACACCCGAGTCCCACTGTCTGTGATGTTTTCAGAGTTTTCAGAGTCCTATCTTCAGTTTGTTTACATCGCCAGGACGGCCGGCTGACTGACTCCTCCCCTTGTGTATAAAAGTTGTTTAATTGAGGGACTAGAGAAAAGCAGAATAACATACTGTACTCACTGCTTAACTGTGTTTCTAGATCACGCTCATTTCAGGTAAATTTACATGCAGTGTGAAGATACCAGCATAATAGAGATCGCTAGCATTAGCATGCTAACACAACAATGCAGCGCGAGTTGTTTTGGTTTCATGCTGGTGCTCAAGGATCAAAAAATCGCATATAAAGCCTTTAAGGAGAGACCAGCCTGGAGGCCAGGGACGGAAACTAGGCTATATCATGGCTATGCAGACGGTGTCATTTGCTCCGATTTTGGCTAATTGAAAGGGGGAAAAGTATTTTTTTTAAAACCATCCTCAGGGCAAATGTGCGCTATATCGAAAATATTCTGCTATTTAATTAAAAATACCCAAATCTCGCTTATCAGTAGCTTCATGATCAGCAAATAATAAGTGCAAAAGACTGCCTACTTTTTCACGACTTTAATAATTCAATCTTAGACAAAGAACGTAGATAGTGACCTGTTAGGGGGGTTAGGGGATTATGGAGAAAGAACTATGTAGCAGTGAATGGCCATTTCTCTTGTTTTTGACACTGAAGAATGTACTTGGGTGGCAGAGAAGTAAAAGAAGTGGGCTGGAAGTTAATAACGGAGGGGAATCTGAGCCTGCTGCTCTCGGACTCCCTGGGACGTTTCATCTGATAATCCATCTACAAATTAATCCCCGTCTTCTTGAAATGAAGAGAGGCTTTAGGATTAGTTCTTTGAAGTTTAAAAAGGGGGGACCTCTGAGTATTCAATGCATGTCATTGCTCTCTTTCATTCCCCCATATGCAGTCATTTAAATGTTCAAAGTTCATTTCAGGACAATCCATGGGGGTTCAGCTTCACCAACAGCAGCCTTTCAATCTACATGCAGATTATTTTTCAATCCCTCAGAGCTTCTTCCAAAACGGCTCCCATCTTTGAATAATCATTTCG